GACTCATGAATTATGGTTCATTCCCCCAAGGCCATACTCCTTCAGCGATCACTTCTCTAACAGATTATGTCAAATTGTTTCACATGATACAATAACTAACAACATACACAATGTAATTATATACGCTGCTTGAATTTATGTGTTCGTGAACAATATTATTTACTTATGGAGTATATAGTACTCTGAGTGTCCGCATATGTATTTTACTTTAAATCAAAGTCGTGAAACATACTCTGCTCTTTTAAATCACATGTTTTACGAGTTTGTTAGCACATTTTGGAGGTTTGAAACCATGTCATAGATTCTTCTCTTTAAAAAAAATTAATCAGTACCAAACTACAAAAAATCAGATTTCGTATCCATATAAACTAGGATTACCAATTTATTATACAATGAAATGAAATATAAAATTAATGATTAGCCAACCAATAGATATAGCTGTCGGTTGCTATATACTTCCTGCCAGATATGTAAATTAGATGTACAAATAAATAAATAAAAACTGTTTTTGGTATGAATAAATATAATGCTCTCCACTCCCCTTTCAACCCCCTACCTACCCAAAAATTTTAACATAGAAACTTTTCTACTCTTTGGGATCAATCAAATAATTAATGCAACATTTTAGAACCATGAGGAGTACCACTAATACTGGAATTTGCATCAACATGTATGGACTTTTAATAAAATACTCTATCTCCATCCTATTTTATATATTACCTTTTAAATTTTAAGAGTCAAACAAATCTATATTTGATTATAAATTTTTCAAGATATTTTAAATATTTTAAATTATCAATTATTGTGACTCGTAATACTTTTTACGAAGTTTACAAATATGAAATTTTCGATTCAAAAAAATTGAAGATTCCATATGCAAATTTCCAATCAAATTTAAACTGTCTCTAAATATAAAATGTATCGTATAAATTGGAACAGATAGAATACACATATACTAGCAATAGTAATAAAAGATGCTGTGACTTTTGGACTCACATATTTGCCGCAATGCATGTAACAACAATTTGGAATGATTTAATTAATTCACAAATTCAACCATGATAGCAACTTTTCACCACTGTGTGGGTCTGATTTGAGATATCTTTGGTTCTGTTTTGAATTTTTTCGATTGGGATGTTTAAAATGTGATTGTGAGTAATAATTGAAACGAATATGGGACGTGCTTATATTTTTATGAAATAAAATAAAATAAAATGAGTGGTAGAGTATCCATTTCTAAGATTTCTTAACCATCACCATCCCTGCCTTGTAGGGTCAACTTTAAAATTTTGTATGTTTAACAAAAAAGATCCTTTCTTGTCTTATATATATATATATATTTACAGAAAAAAAAGATCTATTCCCACATTCTCCTCAATCGAAAGAAAAATAAATAAAATTGCCAGCTAGCTATAGGATATTTATAAATGTATATAACAATAGCTGGTTTTTAGAATCTCCATGTTTTTGAAAAGGTAAAAGATCGAGTAAGGAAATTTTCAATTGTGCAAACTCGATTTTTGAAAATTTCAAATATAACGCGACGATTATTGTATTGTTGTACTATTCGTCTATTGAAAAAAGAGTATTATTGAAGTATTCAAATTTGAGAAAGTTGAAGGAAGATGGGATTCTCACTACCTTATCTAATTTGCTTGGAAAGAGTGGAAGCAACCCAAAAAAAAAATAGTTTCGATTGGTTTCTTGAATCTAATTATAAATTTTACGTACTCTCCAATTCAAAGAGTTAAGTTGGTCAGGTTTTCACGATTTGAAATAGAGTAGGTGGCACTAACATGAATTGTAATACAGTGGTGCGACTCCTTTATCCTTCGCTAAAGATCTCTGGTTGAAACTCTAAATACGAAGAAAAAAATATTTGTAATGTCACTTCAAAATATGCCAGTAGATGGCACGTGACATGCCAATGTTTGTTAAATGATATTGTTGTAGAATAGAAATTAAATTAAGAAAACTTACGTATCATCATAAATGCAAATTGCAAATTAAAGGAAAAGGTCCATAGGCTATAGGCAAGTTGTATTAGCCGCAAAATTCGAGCCTTGCAGTTGATAAAATAACCAATTGCAAAGGCAGAATCAATTATCTGTTGCCGTCAATATACAATGGAACATGCCAACATGTGATCATTACACTAATTCCAATGATGTGGATTCATATATTTTTGCCTATTTTAACTAACTACAGTCACACTTCCATGTACACTGGCAGTAGTGGCATTACCACTCCGTTGTCTATGATTTGAAGTTTATAAACGGTGATAGTATTAATTTACTCAAGGCAATTAAATTTGTTTAGACCAAATGATGTACATTTTATGTGTGTGTCACGAAAACGAATGGCAATAAGCATTATTATGAGGGGTAAAGTGGATTCAAAATGAGGGCTTTATAGCATTCTGTGCCTATAAACATCTTTTGCAAACACAATCACCGGCAACCAAAGCTTTACCAAAATCTGCTGTTGCTTCTTTGCGGCGGAATATGATTCATCTTTTTTCTTTTCTTTTTTACCTTTGGACTAATAATTTAGTGATTTTAGTTTGGATATACCGTTAAAGAAATTACTTAACCGAGAAATATTATTCTATTTTTCATATAATATTACAATTTCATGATAACTTATCGACAATATTATTCCATCCAAACATAAAATGAAATCATCTTAAAATTAATTCTCATATTAGTTATTCCTTAATCTCTTATGAATTCAATATATAACTACTTATTAATGATGAAGTGAAGAAAAAACAAAGAACACAAATAGTGGGAAGCGTGGTACATTAATTATGTGTTTTATATGAAACATGGCGTGTGTCCATACATAACTTATTCCTAATTTGAATAATCAACTCTACCAAAAGCAATTAATCTCTTTCCTATTGTTTGACACAAGATCGATTCATTATTCCCTCATCCTTTCCTTAAGATTTGGCTATATTTCAGTATCTTGCTTTTAATTATCTCATATATATACTATCTTCTTTTTTAAAAAATGACTCTATTATATTTTTAGTCTGTTTAAAAAAAAATTCTTTCTTTTTATAACATTTTAGTTTTAACTTTCCACGTGACAGTGACATGTTTAAAACCACAAGATTAAAAGATATTTGGGTACATTTGACATAACTTTAATTTAGATTCATAAAATTAAAAAAAAAAAATTTACCTCCGTTACAAGTCAAACTAGATCATCATTTTTAAAATAGAGTAAAGTATAAATTTATGTATACATTGATTAGTGTGAACACCGATAATGCACTACCGGTTGATTTTATTAAAAATCAAAGTGTGTCATTCGTCAAGCTCTTTCATCTACATATTAGCGAATTTTCGTTCACAAATTATGCAAAACAAATATTTTACTATTATTCTAAAGTCCCACTTCTTAAACATGTAACATATTTGACAAAATTTATCAATTCACATTATAAGAAAACATGCAATACACCGGTCAAATATTAAAGAAAAACTAGACTTAGAAAATTATTATTTATTTTTGAGCACGTTAAATCGAATTATTTCAACAAAATTATAAATGTCACTTTGTTTCTCCACTCAAGGTAGCAAAGGAACAAAAACATAATTTTAATGCCATAAAAGTATCATAACCATATAATTTAGGACACAACAATTTGAACAACATGATTAACAACTAATACTAATTATGCAATACCACTAATAATTACTATTAGATTTTTTTTTTTGTTATTACAAATAATCAAATTAAATGCAAATTTGCATTGAAATAATACTACACCAAAAAAAATCTTTAGCAATATTAATAGTAACAACATAAAATCAAATAACAATTAATTAATATTAATAAAAATATTTACGCTATTTCATAATTATATAAATACTATATATTATCGTTAAAAATTATTTTTGCTGCCGTTTTAAATTCGTAAATTTTAGTAAAATGAGAAAGGAGCCCACACGAGCCATGAAGCGTGCCAAGAAAAAGGCTGCGACTCTTAGAGTTCCCAATTAGCCATTATATTTATACAAACAATTTTGTACGATTCAAATTCAACTCACAATTTAACCGTGACACAAACCGTCCACTTTATTCTCTGATTGAAAACTGACCTTTTGTTCTTTTTTTTTTCTTTCCTTTTTTGTATTTTGTTGGTTGAAAGGAGATGTTTAAAATGTGATCGTCAATTTTATTAAATGCTGTTTTTTATTATAAAAAATATATATACACATTATAATTTATAACTAACGGTGGAGTGTTTATTTAGTAGATTTCATAACCATCATCATCCAATCCTCGTGGGTCCAATTCTCTAAGCTGTTGATTTAATTAGTGATTTTGATATATTATTTTCTTACATATTTAAAGATATTTATTCACACTTTTTGAAAAAATTGAAATTGAAATATCATCATACTAATAATATACCTTCTTACTTCATTTTGTTAAACATATAATTTAAAAAATATAATTAACATGTCTATTAAATTTAAAAAACAAGTGATTATTTAACTTAAAGGGTAAAATAAAAAGAAAAAATAATAACTTTTTCAATGCCCTAAAAACGATAAAATAAAAATCTATTTTAAAATGAACAATTAAAATTTTAAAATGACTTCTGTCTTAACAAAACTAGGAAGAAATTCCATAGTTTGCTGGCAAAATATCTTACCCTATTAAGTCTCTTTTTACTTTTTATTTGTTCCCCTGTATTTTTATTATTTTTGTCTCTCCGTAACTTGAACTATTAATTAATTAAAAAAATCATGTAAGTGTATTCGTCACTGATACCTCAATATAAGAATATTAACAAATTAAAAAATGTGAAATGACATCGTAATAGGGGAAATAATATATTTTTTTGTGTTAAATATATTTTGAGAAAAATAAATAAAGTTAGAATAATATTATTATCCTAAAACAAATAAATAATATTTTAAAATTTATTTCTCAAATATGAGGAAATTACTCATTATTTAATTCACTCTGTTAAAAAAACACAAAAGAAATTATTTTAAATTTTTAAAAATCCCCTGCACTATATATAGAAGTCCTTTGTGTGAAGTAAAGCTCGCGACTAATTGCGCGTTCCTCTGTTTTCTTCTTTTTAACAGAAATCCTCAAAAAAACCAAAATTTCAACTCAAAATACATCAATGGATTGGGTACGAGGTGAAGCAGTAGGCCATGGTAGCTTTGGCAAAGTCGATTTTGCAATACCCAAATTGCACAAAACTCATATTCTTCCATTAATGGTGGTCAAGTCATCTGCAGCTTCTTCATCGGCTACCCTCATTAACGAGAAGATGATCTTGGATGAGCTTAACTCTTGCCCTTACATTATTCGATGTCTAGGCGACAGCTATACATATGAAAAAGGAGAAAAATTGTACAATGTCTTGTTGGAGTACGCTTCAGGAGGTGCCTTGTCAGAAAAGCTCAATAATTCCGGTGATCGTAGGTTGCCGGAAATTGAAATCAGAAAATACAGCAAGGCCTTATTGAAAGGGCTACACTATATTCACAAGAGAAGATATGTTCACTGTGATATTAAACCGCAGAACATTCTACTAGGCAAAGATGGTCAAGTTAAAATTGCTGATTTCGGGTTGGCAAAGAGAGCCGAATCAGTAAAAGATGATAAATTACGAAGTGAATTGAGGGGTACCCCATTGTACATGTCGCCGGAAATGGTTACCGGCGGCGAACAGGATACCCCCGCCGATATCTGGGCACTTGGGTGCGTGATTTCTGAGATAGCAACCGGAGTTCCAGTCTGGGGTTACTCAGATTTAACCCAACTATTGATGAAAATCGGAGTGGGTGATGAGCTACCTGAATTTCCGACGAAGTTATCGGAAGAAGGAAAAGATTTTCTTGAAAAATGCTTGGTAAAAGACCCAAAAAAGAGATGGACAGCTGAGATGCTTCTAAAACACCCCTTTGTCACCGATGAAGACGACACTGTTACACTGAATTACAGTGGTAGTCCTTCAACATCTCCAAGGTGCCCATTTGATTTCCCAGATTGGATATCAGACGACTCCGTTGAATCATCAGTAACAAGTCAAATTACATCTCTGCCCTCGCCGGCGATTCAAGAATTGCTCAATTTTAGCGGCGGGTCATTATCCACATCACCGGCTGAAAGATTAAGAGGATTAATGAATGAACTCACAAAATCTGAATGGTCCGATGCTGATGATAATTGGGTCAGCATTCGGTGATGTCTATCTCTATTTTTTAAAATTGATTAATACTAAAGCCAGAGTAGTATTTAGATTTTCAGAGTACTGAAAGATTTTTTTTTGTTATCAGCCCTGATTTTTTAATTTCTTTTTAGCTTCTTTATGTGTAATTAGAAATTAAAGTTCATTGTATACATATATAGGTTGTAATTAGGATTTAGGAAATCACTTTCAATATTAAGACAAGTGATTGGGACTAAACAAGGTGTAAATTTATAATAGCATTATTTAGTGAATTAAACAAGTTGGTTACTTGGAAAAATGGGAATTGTAGAATGGCAGTGGATGAATTGAAGTTTTTTTTGGGCCAACAATGATCGATAGAATCATACGCAATCATTCAGTTTATCTCTTGCAAGTTGCAATTTTCTTCCATTAAATCATTGGCTCAGTAGCCGAAAATCAGTAGTCGTATAAAGTGCTTCTGATAAAAAACCTGCGGTATAAATTGTAATTTTATAGATTAACTACATTCTTCCTATTCATCATTTTTTTTTCTTATTAGCTCGAGATGATATCTTATATAGTTATTCTAAGTATGACAAAAATATTTTGGAGATTTTACGAGGGAAGCCATGCAATTTTTTTTCCAAAAAAGGCAAGACATGTGACGTGAGAGGAGATAATGGAAATCTTCTTTTAATTTGGTGAATAAAGAAATGTCAACTTGTGCAATCAAATTTTGAAGAAAGGAATGAATTATTTGCTACTCCATCTACAGTTGCAAGTGGCTGCTGTTATGTCTTTGCAACTTTCTAAGCATTTGCAAATTGCTTCATGTCAGGATTGAATTTTAAACAATTCCAGTTGTTTTATCTGTAAAAAAATTAGTTAATTTTCATATTTGATGATGTATGACAATTGGACTAGGAATCTTTGCAACTTGAAAAACCCCTTAATTGGGCATCTTTACATGTTCCTAATTTTACATTTATTACACAGATTTTCAAAGCCTAACAATAATAAGATAACTTTCCATTATTATTATGACTAAATTACCCAATTTTAATCTTTAAGAACATGGGCCAAGGAATATTCCTCGAGCACCATTTTGATTCTTGGGGTTATTTGAATTTAATTAACATTTGCTTGTGTTTATGAAATGTTTGCAAGCCATACTAAGTGGATCAACGACTTTTAAGTACAATCTTTATTCTACATATCTCTCACAAGTTCACACATTGTGAAGTATGATCATGTGGTTTCATTCTATTAACCTTGTTAAATTATATATTTACAAGCATTAGCATATGACTTGCATGTGCTGTTCAGTTGTTTTTAGACGACTTGAAGTATTTAGGTCCTTATTCAACCAAGACACATTCATGTCTATATTGCAGTGCTAGTAATGTATGCATATTTTTTGGACCACTTGATTGAAAAATGCTTCAAAAATTAAAAAATGAAGGAAATGATCCATTTTCTGGCTTATTACTTGAAAACGTTCCTAGATTAAAGGCCCACTACCTCTTCCCACATGGGCCAATATTTTGGATCGTCATATTATGGGCCTTGGCCTATTTCCAGCTTCTGAGCATTACGAATAAATTAGGCCATTAGTTGAAAAAGAAGGACTAAGATCCTAAATTTATTGTAGATTTGAAATCTTTCCAAATCCACGATTTTAGGCTTTATTCTAGCTGTCATATCTACATTTTGAAATAAATCTAAAGAAGGAAATGTTAACCAGATATTCAAAATCTTTATCCATCCCCCACTTTCTCATCTTCCTTGATCAGTTTGATAACATCCTCTTTTATCCCACTTCTCTTCGTGTTGATAATATTTTCACTTATCCTTTTACATGACTCGAACTTCAACATATTTTGAATAGTTAACTCTCACCAACTGTAAATCCAAATTTTAGCCCTTCACCAAACAACAGCACTTTCAACCTACCTATTGATTAATGGTGGTTGTTAAATCGGAAAAGATCCGTCCAATTCGGATACTGTGGTTGACATTGCAATTGCCAATCACATTGAATGCGGAGAAAATTGCGGAACAACACCTTTCGGATTGAAGTTTCAGCCAAAATTAGGGAAGTAGATGCACCAAAATAGGCTGTAGCTCTCTTATATACGTTTCTTTTCTTTCTTTTTAAATAAAATATTTTTATTTTTGATAAATAAAAGAATAGTGTACTACATTGGGTAAATATGAATCTAATTTTATTTAAAATAGAAAATTTCTATTATATGATCTCTTTTCAAGTCCAAGGGATTGCAAGCAAAACACAAAATGATTACCAAAAAGAAAAAAGAAAAAAAAAGAAGCTAACTTCAATAATGAGATTTTCATTAAACATAACTTTTTGCTCTATATACTATCTCCTCAACCCTGTGGGGTACCTCCACCGGTAAAGGTTTGAGGACAAAGTACTTCAGGTTGCCAGTTCGAGCCTCAACAGGGCCACCAGAGGCATTATAAATCGTTGCGTCTTCAGGGCTCCGTGGAATTAATCATGGTGAACCTACCTTGAAACAGCGAGATCTGGTGGGTAAAGCTAGTCGGGTTCACATAGCGATAGTTGAAAACCACGGTAGAAAAAAAAATATTATCTCCATCCACTATAATTATTATAGTTTCATTTTATAAAGTCAAACTAAAAAAAATTTGGACTAACGTTTTATGATGTATTTTTCATCATTTAATATGCAAAAAATTATAATTTATAATAATTTCTGTATAATTATTGAATATTTAAATTTTCTATTTAAAATATTGAATTAATATAATTTAATTTGACTTTAAAAATTAATCAAATTAACTTTTAAAAAGCGCAAAATAACAAATAAAAATAGTTACTCCCTCTATTGCATTTTATGTGACACTTTTCATTTTTTAAGAGTCAAACAATTTAACTTTAACCGAATATTTGCGTATAAAATTTTTAAATTTTTTGAAATAAAATTTATATATTTATAAATTATATAAACAATAATATAAGTTACAATAATTAATAATTCAAAATGTAAAAATGATCTATGAAAAACTTAAGATAAAAAATAAATTTATTTGAATCTTAAAACGTAAAAATGTCACGTAGAATAAGAGTAAACAGAATATTATTTTGGTACTCATATTCATTGATTTGATGCATGGAGACGAAAAAATTTATAATGGATGAGGGATAGATATCATGTGACAAGCAAAAGTTGTATGAGGTTCCTCTTAGAATTTGACGAGTCGATTACTGGGTCCCATTTTCAGAAAAATGTGTCAAATTCTTTTTCCTCTATTTCTTTTTTTACTTTTTCTCTTTGATTGAAATCTTCACTTTTCCAACATCTCTTTTTTTTTCCGTCTTTTTTTAAATATAATTTTATTTATAAAAAAATGTGAAATTTAGTTTAATTCATCGTACTTTGAACATTTGATATTATTTTTCTTTCATGTATTTATTATTTACATTTCTAAAAACAATTATTAAAAATTATTTGTAAATTGACAAATTAAATTATATTTTTATTTTTATTTTCATTACCCAAATAATTAAACTAAATTTTGTACTATCTTAATGTCACCCAAAATAAAAAGAAAAATCATAAACATTTAAATATATACATACTCTTTAGTCAATTTATAAGATATTTTTTTATTCTTGAAATCAAGCAATGTAAAATTTTATTGATATTTAAAGTATATTTATTTTTTATATAAATTTAAGAACTACAACTTATAATGTTTGTTCATAAATAATCATTCCTACATAAATTGCAGTTCAACAAAAAATACTATAAGTTGCAATTCTTATCATGTTAGCATATGAAAAAAAACACATTTTATAGCTTGAATTTTGAGAAAAAAATAGTTGAATGAAATGATGGAGAGACTAAAATGAAAAAAAATGATTATATAATTTAAATAACTATTTATGTTTATCTTAAAATTAAAACAATTAATTTTTATGAGGTAACGTATCTTAGTTTAACTTTTTTAAGTACAAATTTATTTGACTTCAAATTTAAATTAGTATCAATATATTTATCTTGATTTGATTTTTGACAAATGAGTATTGATGAGCAATAAAAAGGCAACGAAATAAATATTAATTTTTAAGAGATAATGAAATGTTAATTTTAATATAGTATTATTTTTTTCTTTGATCCTGTCATTATATAATTTTAAATTTATATAATGAAATATATTAGAATTGAAAAACAATAATATCAAGGACTTCATATTAAAGAGGGATAAATAAAAGGTGGGGGTGAAAGGAGTAAGAAGAGAAAATGACATGGAGCCTACAAATATACTTTTTTCTATTAAAAAATTCCTCACACACCATAAAATTTTTCCTTGGAGACTAGAGACTAGATACACACACTCATGTGCCAATAACAATTCACCGATTAACCTGATGAGAAATATTTACTAGTATAATAAAAAAAAGGGAAACTTTTTATATATATCCACTTAAAAATAATTAATTACTTTTTATAGCTTTATTTTGATAATTATAATTTATAGTTATATGTTATATAGAGGAGAGAGGCGAGCGAGACTGGGAGAGAGAGGATAGAGGCGAGAGAGGGGAAAAAGAGTGGGAGAAGGTGAATTGTATATGTATATTAGTTAGATAATTCTATATTATACATATGTATTGTATATATGGCAAAAGAGATTAGGAGGGAGGAGAGAGGCGAGTGAGACTGGGAGAAAGAGAGGAGAGAGGCAAGCGAAATCGAGAGAGGGAGGAGAGAGGCGAGCGAGATTGGGAAAAGAGTGGCAGAGAGGTGAACTGTATATGTATAAAATTGTATATAACTATATATACATATACATTTGTATAAATGGCAAGCGAGATTGGGAGACGGAGGAGAGAGGCGAGTGAGATTGAGAGAGGAAGGAGAGAGGCGAGCGAGAGAGGGCAGAGAGTGGAAGAGAGGTGAATTGTATATGTATATAGATTTAAAAATTGTATATTATACATATTTATTTTTATATACTGGAGAATGATATATATACAGACATGACTGATCATACAAACTCAAAGTCAGCCCACGTAATTAACGTATAATATTAGTCACTAGTGGTAATTATATCAAACTATAATCAGTAATTAAATAATATAAATTTACTTAGCCACGTGATTTTTCTATAAAAAAAATAGCACACAAATCATACATACCGAATGACTTATAACTATTCCTTCCCTCCAATAAAAATTTAAGATTTTAAAGAAGTTTCATCTTTTTTCAAAATAATAAATTCAAAATAAAACAGGTAAATTTTTTTTGTCTTTTTCTGAATTATTAAAATAAACAAGTAATTAGAAAAAAATAAAAATTAAAAATTAAAAAATAAATAAGCAATTAGATGACGGAGAAAGTAATACAAATCTCGATTGAATGAACCAAAACAATGGAGAAATAAAAAAAAAGTATAAATGCATCAGTTCCTATGTTTATGATTTTCCTCAACCAGCATTTATAATTCGCTCAATATCACAATCAAAACCGACAAATTACCTGGCAGCCACACCTCATTTTCCTCTAAAATAATAATAATTCAAAAAATTATTACAAATCTAGCCGCTAGCAAGCACTTGCCTATATATTTTTGTCATCTTGTTTGTCTCTTTGTTACACCGCCCTTCGTATTTTGTGATTTTAAGTCATATATAGGTGCAGAATTTCTTCAACGAAATTGGAACGTTCATTTTCTTAGGGTCCATAACAACGTTGCATTGAACCCTCTTGTAAAACTTGGGCTGAACCAGTCTTCCCAAAACATAAGCCCTGGCTCGAACCTTGAAATCTAACGTCAACGAAACTGGTGCTACTGGTTTACCCTCCTTGCTCATCAAGTCCACTCCACCTCCATACAATGGAATTTTATTTCCTATTAAACTCACTGTTACTGTTCTCTGACTTTTTCTTCTTTGGTAAAACTTCTTTATCTGCTCTACCCAAACACTATGATTAGTAATACACCCACAATATGTAAAAAATTGTATTATCAATCAATTTTTATCACGCAATAGCATGATAGTTACGTTCTAATCGAAAGAGATTTTGGTAACTCAATTGATTCGTAATTTTGAACTTTATATTAAGCTAGAACTCGATTATGTATTTCTCATCTCGATAATTCTCTCCCTTATTTTCCCTCCCCCTCCCCCACCCCCTATATCATAATTACAAACATATATATAAAAAGTTATGATCTAACTAGAGATCAAATAATACTTATCAAGAGATTTACCTGTAGTCATTTAGTGGTAAGTGATCTAAAGTGTAGATATGTACTCTCCAGTTAAAAAAAAACTGACATTTTTTTGATTTATCTTAAGAAATAATTTATTTTCTTTGACAATATTTTAATTTCAGTTTTTAACTTGACTCGTAATTTATTTTCTTAAACTACGAGTCAAATTAAATTAAATATTTTTTTAAAAAAGAAAAGAGTATTAATTATTGTTTTCTAAGTACATCGATCAAGGCACAATATTAGTAAATAATACTAATAAGATGTAGTTGACTACTTACCGTTCCTGTAGCAAGGGTTAGCTGAGAAAAGGAAAGAACAAGAGGCGTAGACGTTACATGCACACCAAAGAATGTGCCTGTGTTGCGCACTATCAGCTTCACTGTACAGTTCATTGATACCATCACTGTTGCAACTCCAGAGAAATCCATCCCCGATTGAACCCCAAATTCATTATATGAAATACTCTGCACACATTTATAAATCAATTGAAGTCTGTTTGTTGTGATCTGATTGTATAAATATTTTTTTAATTATATTACCTTCATCGTAACGACAGGTTTCTGATTTCTGCTAGCACCCCACAAGATCAAAGAAAAGAAAGTGAATAGCAAAAAGAATCCAACAACAAAAGCCAAGAAATAACATCGACGAGGGACACCTTTACTATAGGCGTCATCATCAAGTAATCCTTCTTCTTCTATAGCATCAAATTCTTTCCATTGCTGTTTATCTCCTTTACGATGACGATGATTATGGTGTCTCCCACTGTTGCTCCTAGACCCGTTACTCGACTTCTGCGAACCGGGCTTTAGCGAGCCCGAATAACGCGTAGAGGAAGAGTCGCGAGATTGTCGGCCCGGTGAGCCCATCGGGCTAAGTATAGGAGTGGAGTGGAACGAATTAGTGGTCTTTTCTCCATCATGTGAATCTCTTGACGGGCTTTGGACGTAGTAAACGGGCCGGTTCGGAGATGACGGGGCTAAACTCGTCACCTCCGAATCTGTCTTAGCATGATGCGTTGACGACATTGTTGATTGATCTAATAATTTCTTAAGAAGGAAGAAGAGGAATATAATTGGAGAAATAATAGAGATGAGTAGATCTAGGATACATGATGAGTATATAATGAAGCAGTATCATATTGTATTTTTAATTATAGTAATAGAAAAGTCCAACACCCACGTTGGTCCTAGTTTGTTTATTTGTTTTGTATGCCAAATATTGCGTGAGAGTGCAGTTAATTGAGGGACTGAAGGGCATGGAAATAGGAGACCAAGAGTAACTCTCACAGGAAATAATAAATGTTAAAAACATTTTTTTTTTTAGTATCAACTGCCAGTTGGAATTTGATTATATTATGCAGTTTGAGCAAATTTAGACGTACTACCTCACTATATATATATATATATATATATATATATATATATATATATATATATATATATATATATATATACTTGTTCATTTTTTCTAAAAAAAAAAAAAGTAATCGAATTACAATTTTACTAGCTGAGTTTTAATTACTTATTGATTTTTTACTCAAAGAAATAAGTAATTGATTACAATTTTATTAGTTGACTTTTACTCTCTTCCTCTCATTTTATATGTTATCTGTTTTTATAAATAATTGATTTATAATACTTATCATTTTATAAAATCAATACATAAATTATCATATTATTATTTTTTAATCTTTGTGAGTTATTAACCTTAAAATTACATATTTGATCAATTTAGAAAACTCAAATAAATGATTGATAGATTTGATTTGGCTTTTATTAGAGGCAATGAACCGGTACCTTCCTTTTTTTTGTTTTTTTCCTATTCTTTTTACAAATAGAATTGCAGCCACTAATCCGTAATCTAGTGGTCGGGTAAAGAATTATAAGATTTTTGTGTTCAAATTACAGCAAAGGAAAGGCTATTGGATGATTCTTTTTCCCTTTATATTCAAATCTCGATGAATAAAGTTACTTGCGATAAAAAATAACACGTGATTATACAATTAAAAACAAAATAACAAGTTCTATTTTAAGTATTCTATAACTAATTACGTGAATTTGATTTGGAGACATGAGATTAGTGAAGACATGATGGTTGCCACTTTTTATTGCTGGGCTGTTATTACGTAGATGTTTCATTTTAGATCATATTATTTATTTTCTGATCCATTTTTCAACTAGGCGTTTTTCACTACTATTAATATACTTTCTTTATTTTATAATTATAAGTGAAGTGAAAATAAGAAATATTTTAATCCCTAATTAAATGTCTTGAAGGAAAAAGTAATTTTTTAATAGAGTTAACTCCATGATAATTTTTTGGGGAAAAAAATTCTACACCTTATTTTAAAAATAAAACTAGGTAAAGAGGCTGCACTAAGGTGAATATTTTTAATTACCAATAATATAGTAGGCAATAGGGGAAAGGACATTAGAAACGAAATGGTAGACCTCGTTTTATAATTTCTTCTCAATCCATGCCACAAAATGAGAAAATAAAATCCTGGATCGCGAACAATGATTCGATTGATGATGAAGAAAGAGAATTTTTGGTTCGGTTCCCCACCTTAACGACAGAAAATAGGATTGATCAAATTCTATGTTGGCTGATGCCGCACTCGTGTCGGATTCTTCAAAAATATAATACTTGCGACACGCTCCAAAAATACACTATTTTTGGAGAATTCGTTACGCACCCACTGACATTTTTGCATCATAGACAAAATGTACCTATGGAAGGAACATTTAGAAACAAAACGGTGGAATATGACGCATCAATGGATTCATCAATACGAAGGATCCGTTATCCTGTTTACCACAAACAAGTACAATAAGAAAGGTTACATAACTTGCCACAACCGATAGCTCAAACTAGAAAAAACTTTGCAAGAGATCCACAATATGAATAAACTTCGAAAGAAAATCAGTAATAACTTGGATCAACGGGAACCAAAGTGCATGATGAAAAAGTGGAAATTCTAGTGGGACAAAATCAAAGTGAGCAAATTGTAAAAAAGGAAAACATCTTTAACAATTCAATCATTTGGTTATGCCACAAAAGCAACCAAGAAAATTTGAACTCACTATTACAAGTGTGACACCCTAAATTTCCACTGCCCTTCAACTGGATCATAAGAAAGAAATTCTGTATCAAGCTCTACTGCTTTCTTAATTAGCATATCTCTGTATTTGTTGACCATTGGTCCATCTCTGTACTCCTTCCCAGTCGAGTTGTTGATGCATCTGACATTAAGGAGAGTTATCTCAGCTGGCCTGTTGAGGCCTTGTCCAACTGGAGGCTTCTTGCTCTCATCCATATAGATAACCACCTCACGATGATTGAACTGGATAGCAGAATCAAGGTCAAACTTCCGGACATCTGTTTCTCCCAAGAACTTGATGCTTCCATACCCATGTCTTCCTATCACAAAGTCCTTCACGTGGCAACAAAAATCAGCTTCTTCCTTCTCCTTGGATAGCAACTCCTCCATAGAAGGAACGGTGTAGTAATCAGCACGTTGAAGCTTTGGGATAATGCCATCCACATCCTTATCATCGCCACAATATCATGATGCATCTCTTCAGGCTCTAACTTGGGCTTGTCACCAACTTTATCTCTGTCATGCATCCCTACATTTTAAACAGAAAAGGGAATTATTACACAATTAAATAGCAAACTTGGTTAGTTTCGTTCTTAATTCTTGGAACTTGTAAAGTAGCAAGTTACATTTTATATCCTTGGATATACTCAAAACAGATAACAAATGATGATTTTTCTAGTGTCCAAAATCTTGTAAATGAATCACCAATCCATGAAATTACTTGGTTTTAGATTTGCACTATTAGAGATTCCAGGCTTTGAGCTTTAACAAAATGGGATCTTGATGGAGCAGACATAAAATGGTACTTGATATTAAGTAATCCACTAAAAAATTACATGTAACAATGATAATTGACTTATGCATCTAATAGAATCCAGCTTAACCAATCAATGAAAGAAAAGCATGATTGCATATATTTATCAAAAAAGAAAGCTTACTGTCCATAGATGAATCAGCCCCCAGTGGAATTCTGAAGTAGGACGAACCTGGTCCCTTGGAATGACGATGGACTTCTGTCCTTAGTACACCAGAAGCGTTTTCTTTATCCATGAAAAGAGTACCTACATAAACAAATATTATAGTCCTGTTAAATCTTCCAGTGTTAAACTTGGATTAGAGGAAAATATGGACTTTGTCCTGTATTTTTTCACCAAAAGGATACCCATACTTGCAATCTTTGCATATGAGTGCAACTTAAACTTTTGGTCCATCAACCAAAGCATGCCCAGGAACTACTAAACATGTCTCGCATAAAATTTTACTTCTCACCTTTGGTTTATCACTTGTAGGTTTGTATTCCTGAGGTGGCAACCTATGCTGACTAAGAGATGAAAGTCGAATTATCAATGGTGCAAGGTTGTTAGAAACCAGCAACCAACAAAAGGATAATTTTTAATAATACCCTACAACGGTTGTTTTCACCTTAAGCATAACCAATATAGTGAATCTAATAAAAACATAATCACGCCTGATACTTTGAAGAGTTTGTTTGGAATTTGGACAACTATATTGATGTTTATATCTGATTGGAGAAATACTGAAATTTATTTATATAAACCTACATGATGCAGTAAAACCAAACAAATATAAAGCCAAAGTCCAGCAACTAGACCTAATAAATAATCTGTCTTTCAAGGTGCATAGCATTATATCGACTGTAATGAGGTATCCCAGTACATTATGTAACTACTTTTTTTTTTTGACAAAGATAATGTTGAGGATTATGTAACTACTAGTGAGTATAATTACTTGGTTTGAGACCAATGAACACATCCAGGAGCAACATTAATTATAATTACTTGTTCAGAAATGTGAAGCTTACAGGTAAACTAGAAATTCCATACCGAATGGATGTTTCCAAAAACGGGTGCTCAACTGAGATTTGGACTGAAGGTTGTGGTTCAGCAGGAGGCATAATTGGTGATGGTTTGACTTCCATGATTCTCGGAAAGTAAGACCTGAAAATAGAAGGTATAGCCGGTGCATGAGAAAGTACAAAAAGAAAGATCTCTGAGGCAAGAAAAAGAAGAGACACACAAAAAAAACGATCAGATTAAAAGGGGAGTGTGGTGTAATAACTGAGGCAACAAAAATAAAAGAATGTGAGTGAAGTCTAGAAGTCAAAATTAGGCATTCAATAACACACAAAAAAAAGTAAAACATTAGATAGTTAAGTTTGATACTCACTGTTGGCCATCGACACTTGGCTGCTGACCAACTCCTTGTCCAATTTCTGAGAAACTAGCACCTTCTTACAGGAAACAGGGTCCAGGAGGATCAATTACATTGTTTACAATCCAACATACTGTTGACATCAAAAATAGCAAGATATACTGCACTACGTGTACCTGTTGATGGGCGAGAAACCTTGGTTATTGGAAGTGTTTTTCCAACTTTAGGAGTCATTTCGGGCTGCAGAGGAACAGAGAACAGAGGCTGCAAGAGTAGCAACAACTTAGATGTATAACACCACAATAGAAGAACTTCACCGCTTCTATAGACCACAGGGTGCCTTTTATATTGTTTATGACAGAAAGCAATGACAGAGACATATAACTAAGATCTAATTGGATATACGTTTAGAAACACTTACAGTATTTTGACTCGTCGCAAGTGGAGCGCTTGAAACATTAGAAAGTCCTGGTGGAGTAGGCTGTGACTGCTTTAGGCAGTTCAAGCAAAATGTGGATAGTGGAGCGCCTCCTGTAGTTAAAACAGGTGTGGGAGGAAAATAGTTCTTTTGATCAAAATCAGGGCCTGATGGTACTGCTAACAAAGGATATGAAGAGGGTGAAACTGAACATGGAGATAGAGGGGTAGATGTTGATAAAGACCACGGATTCCTTAATGTAGAAAAGGTGGAGGTAGTGGAAGAACTGGAAGCTGGATTAAAAGGTGCAAATGGACTCGAATGGGTCCACGGAGAAAAAGAAACATTTGAGGCAGTAGATTGCACTCTACTTCCAGTGCCACAAGAGTTTAACAATGATGTGTTTGGGGGAAATATATGGGAAATGGACTGCTGATGTGGCTTCGAAGATGGGTTAGAATTTTCATTTGATAGAGAGTCAATCCCTGCTCTTTCCACTGCAAATGTACTTGGAAAATGGGAATAAACAGGTTGATTAATCAAATGAAGGAGCTTTTAGAGGTCCAAATGCACCCATGAAAGTATAAAAAAGTAAATGAAATACAAGGTAGATTTCTTTGTAATCTACAGATAAGAATACCTTTATCACCTAACTGGTAGTCCTCAAACCTCAACTCCTCCTGGCTTTTATGTTGATAACTCTGCATTCCACAAATGGATTGTATTCCTCCACCATCGAGAAATATGTTATCTATATCTGGAGTTGCAATGTATGATGCTATTCTACTTCCTTTCTGATTATTACCAACTACTGACTTTCCAAAACCAGAGTTCTGGAGCAAAGTACTTTCTTTTCCTGGTCAGAAAGTTTGATCTAAAGATTGAACAATCAGGATATTCAAAGCTATAAAGTAGGAATAAATGGTTCTTAGTACTATTTAACAAAAGCTTAACATGGATTTCAGATCAATATATAGAGCATATATTAGCACTTTTAACAGTATATAATCTTATATCAACCGGATCATCTAGATTACAAAACAAAACTCTCCCTCAAATTGTTGAATAATCTGGTCCAATACATGAGAAAAGGGACAATAAAGCAAACCTTTGATCCCTGACATGGATATAGCTGGTTGGCCAAAGGAATAGGAACTAAAACTTGGGGTGCCAAAGTGTGAGTTGCTTGAAACACCAAATGAAGGAGCTTTTAGAGGTCCAAATGCACAGAAGTCTGTGACATTGGAATCTCCGGGCCACAACAGAGGTTCATTAGCCACCCTGTTAATGTCATATTTCTTTCCAAATGTCTGTGAAGTGGATGAGCCCCGGTATATGTTTTGCAATAGACCAGATATAGCATTCGTTGTTGTATTAAAGGCTAATGTTCCTGCAGATAGGAAAGCACATTGAATTGATTTGCTAATCACCAATTAAAGACAGCTACAAGGCATCAATAGCTGGCACAAGATTGGTTCCGTAAATAGAAACAATAACATTACCCACCATAAGAAATCACTGAGATATTGCAGTAATTACTAGTAACATATTTGGAGAAAAGTGCAGCTCAATGTGCATAGCTACTTTCACAAGGAGAAGATTTAGCTTTTCAACCAATTCCAAAGCCGCTTCTCTGCTCTAGAAAAGCATACATGATATCTCTCCTTTCATGAAGTTAGTCGTATTAAATGTAGCATCTATATATGTCATTCCTCACCTGGACCACAGGCGAGAAATAAAGCTGTACTTAATCCATTTGGCAGAGAAATCACGGGGATAACATAGTCAAAGAGTGTCTGTAGATCATTCCCACACAATAGCTTAAGCGGTCTTTCTTCTGAGTGTATTTGGATAGAGACCAAAGAATTTGTTTAAAATTAATTTAAACAAGATATGCACTTATAAAGGTAGCAAATAACATATTTTAAGAAGCTTAATCTAAATCCACATAAGAGAACAAGTTAAGTATACCTTTATCACCTAACTGGTAGTCCTCAAACCTCAACTCCTCCTAGCTTTTATCTTTATAAGTCAGCATTCCACAAATGGATTGAATTCGGGATCCTGTGATATCGTTATCAGGAGTTGCAGTATATGATGCTATTCTACTTCCGTTTTGATTAATGCCAAATGCTGACTTTCCAAAACCAGAGCTCTTGAAAAAAGGTGTACTTTCTTTTCCTGTTTTGCAAATTTGGTCAAGATTGAACACTTGAGCTATCAAAAAGTATGAAGTAGAAATAAATAGTACTTAGTAGTATTTAATAAAAGCTCAACAGGGATTTCAGATCAATACAGAGCATATTGATTACAGAACAAAATTCTCCCTCAAAATGTTGATTAATCTGCTCCAATACATGAGAAAATGGACAGTAAAGTTAACCTTTGCTCCCTGAAATGGATAGTGCTGGTTGGCCAAAGGAGTATGAATCAAGTCTTGGGGTGCCAAAGTGTGAGTTGTTTGAAACACCAAATGCAGGACCTCTTGGATATCCAAGTATGGAGGAGTCTGAGACATTGACATCTCTGGAACACACCAGAGGTTCATTGGACACACTATTAAAGTCATATTTCTTTCCAAATGTCGGTAAAGTGGACGAGCCCATAGATATGTTTTGTTTGACTAGATGTAGCATTCGTTGCTGCAGTAAAGTCTAATGGCCCTACAGTTAGGAAAACAAATTGAATTGATATTTTAGTCACTAATTAAAGACAACTACAAGCATGAATAGCTGGCACAAGATGGGTTTTAGAAATTGTAAGCCATAACACTACCACCATAAGAAATCCCACTACTGAGGTAAGCAGTTATTGCTAACAACTTTTTAGATGAGTAGATCTCAATAAGCATAGCTACTTCCACAAGGAGCAAATTTAGCTTTTCGACCAATTTCAAAGCCTCCTTGCTTCTCTAGAAAAGTAAATATGATATCTCTCTCCTTTTATGAGAACAGATTCTTGTTATAAAGAATCGTAATCTACGTCATGCCTCTTTTCTTGGATCCGCGTTAAATGGATTGTTGAAACTGATTTCAACTACATCGATTCATATACTTATGTAGTAACGTATCAACCTGGTACGTAGTCTATGCGTACTAACTAATACCAAGAACGTACTCACTGGATAAAAGTGTTGTCAACATATAGAAATACATACATAATGGATTTAGAGAATGGGATATTAAATCACAAAGAAAAAGGAAGAAGAAGAGAGAAACATTCCCAGATTACGTTATCAAGATTCAAGAATGCAAGGAAGTGGAGAAACTAAAACTTGTGTTGTCAATACAGTTTCAAGAATCAGCATATAAACTATTTATCAACTCAGAACCAATATGGAAGACCCACAGAGAAAGCATAAACAAGGAACCAAGAAAAAGGAAGAAGAAGAAGAGAGCAACATTCCCAGAATCAGCTATCAAGATTCAAGAATGCAAGAAAGTGGAAAAATTGAAAAATGTGTTGTCAATGTATATGTGAACAAATTCTTCTTTTCAAGAATAATGTATGTGGAGATTGGACCAACCACATAAACTATCACGTAACCGGAACCAACATGTAAGTAATCAAAGAAAATTTACGAAAACTCATATACACAGGACACAGTGCATTAAAAGGCCTAAAGAATGAAATTTTACTCAACTCACATGTAAGTAATCAAAAAAATTTAGGAAAACTCTTGAACACAGGATACAATGCATCAAAAGGCCTAAAGAATGAAATTCTACTCACTATTTGTAAGTAATCAAGAAAATTTAGGAGAACTCATAACACAGAACACAATGTATCAAAAGGGCCTAAAGAATGAAATTTTACTCACTTGTAGAGACATGTTTTGAGACAGAGAAAACAAAGAAGAAGAGTCCTTTTTGATTGTCAAAGTTTTTTGGAATATATATAGATAGAAGAAAGGTTGCATAATCTATATATGTCATTCCTAACCTGGACTACAGGCGAGAAATAAAGCTATACTTAATCCATTTGGCAGAGAATTAATGCGGATAACAGATTCAAAGAGTGTCTGTATATCATTCCCATACAATAGCTTAAGTGGTCTTTCTTCTGAGTGTATTTGGATAGAGACCAAAGAATTTGTTTTAAATTAACTTTACTGCCGGAGAATATACACATATAAAGGTAGAAATAACATCTTTGAAGAGGCTTAATTTAAATCCACATAAGAGAACAAGTTAAGTATACCTTTATCACCTAACTGGTAGTCCTCAAACCTCAACTCCTCCTGGCTTTTATCTTTATAAGTCAGCATTCCACAAATGGATTGAATTCGGAATCCTGTGATATCGTTACCAGGAGTTGCAGTATATGATGCTATTCTACTTCCTTTTTGATTAATGCCAAATGTTGACTTCCCAAAACCAGAGCTCTTGAAAAGAGGTGGTGTACTTCCTTTTCCTGGATTGCAAATTTAATCAGGATTGAACACTTACAATACCCAAAAATATGAAGTAGGAATAAATAGTACTCAGTCGTATTTAATAAAAGCTCAGCAGGGATTTCATATCAATACAGACCATATAGATTACAGAACGAAATTCTCCCTCAAAATGTTGATTAATTTGCTCCAATACATGAGAAAAATGGACAATAAGTTCACCTTTTGCTCCCTGATATAGATACTTCCGGTTGTCCAAAGGAGTATGAATCAAGTCTTGGGGTGCCAAAGTGTGAGTTGCTTGAAACACCAAATGCAGGACCTCTTGGATATCCAATTATGGAGGAGTCTGAGACATTGACATCCCTGGTCCCCACCAAAGGTTCATTGGCCACACTATTAAAGTCATATTTCTTTCCAAACGTCGGTAAAGTGGACGAGCCCATGGATACGTTTCGTGTTTGACCAGATGTAGCATTCGTTGCTGCATTAAAGTCTAATGGTCCTGTAGTTAAGAAAGCAACTTGAATTGATTTTCTAGTCACTAATTAAAGACTACTACAAGCATGAATAGCTGGCACAAGATGGGTTTTAGAAATTGTAAGCAATAACGCTACCCACAATAAGAAATCTCACTATTGAGTTATTACTAACAATTTTTTTTAGAAGAGTAGAGCTCAATAAGCATAGCTACTTCCACAAGGAGCAAATTTAGCTTTCAAAGCCGCTTTGCTTCTCTAGAAAAGTTAATATGATAAGTGATTCTTGTTATCAAGAATTGTAATCTACGTCATGCCTCTTTTCTTGGATCCACGTTACATGGATTGTTGAATCTGATTTCAACTACATTGATTCATATGCTTATGTAGTAATGCATCAACCTGGTACGTAGTCTATGTGTACTAACTAATATCAAGAACGTACACTTGGGATAAAAGGGTTGTCAATATATAGAAACGGATCTAGAGAGCGGGAAATTAAACTCATAAACAATATATCAACTAACAAGAACTAATATGCCAGAATCACAAAGAAAGCATAAATAGGAAACCAAGAAAGAGGAAGAAGAAGAGAGCAACATTCCCAGATTAAGTGATCACGTCTCAAGAATGCAAGAAAGTTGAGAAATTAAAACTTGTGTTGTCAATAGAATTTCAAGAATCAGCATATAAACTAACTAAGACCAATATGGAAGACCCACAGGAACCAAGAAAAAGGAAGAGAAGAAGAAGAGATTCAAGAATGCAAGAAAGTGGGAAAATTCTTCTTTTCAAGAATAATGTATATGGAGATTGGAACCAACATGCAAGTAATCAAAGAAAATTTGCGAGAACTCATAAACACAGGACACCAGTGCATTAAAAGGCCTAAAGAATGAAATTGTACTCAACTCACATGCAAGTAATCAAGAAAATTTAGGAAAACTCTTAAACACAGGATATAATGCATCAAAAGGCCTAAAGAACGAAATTTTACTCACTTACATGTAAGTAATCAAGAAAATTTAGGAGAATTCATAAACACAGGACATAATGCATCAAAAGACCTAAAGAATGAAATTTTACTCGAAGAGTCCTTTTTGATCGTCAAAGTGTTTTGTTTGGATATATATATACAGAGAAGAAGAATGGTTGCATACTCTCTACGCAGATATCAAAACGTAAGCGTATTTGCTTGGGTTTAAGCTAATATCCTTCTCATATATTAAATTAAAAACACGTTTTTCTTTTCTCATCTCATCTCAACTATTAATAAAACCAAAAGCTCAAACCCAATATAATATATTATTTTAGTTATTTTAATTTGTACGTCACAGATAAAATAATTTTAAATCTAAAAATGATATATTATGCAGGAAGAAGAAAGTCTCAAATTTAATTTAAAAGATCATCAAAAAATAAGTTAAAATTAATATATTCTCGTTAAAAAAATTGCTCACATATAACTCCATCTTCACATAAATGACCTAGAATACTTTTTCATCTGACAAAAGTGAAAGAAATTAATTTGAAGTTATTTTTTAAATTCTTTTTTAAATCACGTAATCATATTCGATCCTTCTAAAACAAAGTTTTAAGAGTATACATAATTGATCCTTCTCAAACTTGAGTATAATTTTTTTGAACTTCTTTGATTTAACGATTAATTTCAATTAAGAGTAAATTACATAAATATATTATACTATAAAAATATTTATCATTTATGTCAAAATAAATATTTTTAACTAAATATATCATTTTTTTTATAATTAAGAAAATTGTATAGCGCCTCTTTTCTCAATCCTTTTTCCTTTTCTTATTTTCATTGTCCATCTTCTTGTCTTTTTCTAACTTTTTACTCCTATGCTTCTTTTCCCTTTCTTTTTTTTTTTTTGACTCTTTTACTTCTCTGTCTCTTTCTTTTGCATTTTTTATCTTCTTCCTTGTTTTTTGCTTCTTTTGCTTTTCATCTAAAAAATCATCCTCGATCAGTTTTTGCCCATATATCACTATTTTTATCCAAAAACAAAATGAAAAGAAGAATAAAAAGACCAGAAATTGTACAAAATTACGTTTTTAAGCAGAAATTTTAGATCATTAATATTACAGAAACAAGAGTTCACGATTGATGGTCACTATAAAGCTTCAAATTTTGAATTTTATGGATCTGTGATTAATTTGGATATGTAGTTCCTATAAATAATTAAAAATGTCGTTTGAAGTTTATATCTCAATTTTAAGAGGGTTGATTAAGTTTATAATTGATTTTGGAAAAAAAATAGATTGAAACTCGAAAAAAGTGAAGTTTGTGAAACTATATCGCAATTGTATTAGAGTTGTATTCCAAACTTCACACTCTTTTTTTTATAGTGATATCAACCAAAATAATTTAAGAAAACACTTGTAATACATTTTTAACATATACATAATTCATATTGCAAACATCACTGATGTTCTTAAAGATACAAACCAAAATAATTTTAGGATACTTATAATACATAATTTATTCATGAATAATACAAGTTTAATTCGGTCTATAAATTATTGTCTTGTCTTTCGTTAGTTGTGTTTTTCATTGTTAATTTTCTCTTATAATTCAACTTTAATATTGTGTGATACACTTTTAATATGTTGTATTTATTATTTGTTACTATTAGATTACTTGTTTAATTCATTATTGATATAAACTTAGTTCACTCTATAGATCATTGTATGGTGTTTAATTAGTTACGTTTTTTTTTATCCATGCATAATTCTCTCTTTTAATTCAACTTTAATATTTGTGTAATGCACTTTTATACAAATTAATTCATTTTGCAGTTTATTGATTGATTTGTTATGATTGAATTACTTGTTTAATTCATTATTGATGTAAGCTTTATTCAATTTACAAATCACATAATGCTCTTTCGTTTGCTTCATTTTGAATTCATGTTTAATTCGCTTCTAATTTAACTTTAAAATGAGTTACACATTTTAAATTTAAATTTAATTCATTTGGCCGTTTATTATGTTTCTTCATTTCTTACTATTAGATTATTTGTCTAATTAATTATTGATACAAGTTTTATGTAGTTTACGAATCAGAAATTAAAAGAATTCACTCAACATAAACTATGGATAAAAAGATCACAACACGAAGACTTGCAAAAATGTAAGGCCTTACGATAAAGAATAAAGAATAAAGAATAAGGAATAATATCTTTTTTAGCATTTTATTTTAGAAGTTGAATAGTTTACTATAAAAATTCAGATCATTTTTTTGTGTTCTAATTAAGTATTAACGCATGTCTAGTATTATGTATGAACGTTATAAAATTTCCAATGTTTATATCATTACACAATGTGTGTTAAAATGCTACATATAATTCATTTATATTATATAAAAATTATAAGTGGTGAGAAAAAAATATTAAATGTGTATTAAAAATAGTTATAATTTATTTGTATGACATATGTAAGTTTTAACAAAATTTTTAAACTGAAGCTTGCATTATGAGTTAGTGTTGTATTAAATATGTATTAAAGTTATTTTTAAATTATTTTAAATAAGTATTGCTAAAAGTTGACAAAAATGATATTAAATAAAAAATATACTTAAAAGTGATAATTATTAAATAAAAGACTTCACTTATATAATTTTCACTTTTTCTTTTTATATACCAATGAATGTTTTTAATCCTAATTCATAGAAATTATACAACTATTATAGAATTTAGTATACTTACTTGGCTTAAAAATTCGTAGGGGAAACCATTGATTTATTTCAAGTTATAATATAATAACAGAGTTAAAAAAATGGATGTACATATTTGAATCAAAGTATTAACATGTCTAGCGAGATTTTTAATATAAAAACAATTAATTATAATTAATTAAAATATTTGAAAATAAGGTAGACGGTAGTTTTTTTTCCATAAGAATCTCAGTGATATTCTTAAAAATAAGAAATAAAATGTGCCAAAATGTAGTGTTAACAATGCTATTTTTAATCGAAGTGTTTTGAATTAGGCTCAAGTCTTGAGTAAAGATAGAGGTCTAGGAAATCTTGGGTCAAAGTAGAAGTTGGATCCCAAATTAGGATCAAAAGTTCAAGGTGAAGTCAAATTCTATATTAAGACAAAATCAAAAGTTAAAACTCAAATTATATTTAAATCACAAATCGAATTAAATTTTAATTTAAATTTTATATCAAATTAAAACATGATTCGAATCACATATGTATGGGTCGACCGGAGAGTGGGGTGAGGCGCGACAAACCGTGTGTGCCGTCGAGGTGAATTAGTTGGTGGTGACATGTGTGATGAAAAAGAAAGTGTTGAGATTTTTTTCTCTTCCTAGTTTCTACTAGACACACTTGATACATGTCTTGAAACTTTTCAATTTGAACATACAATTACATTAATTTTCTCCATGAATCTGAGAATCTATAAGTTTATTGAAATAAATTTTTTACATAATTAGACAACATATACAAAACAGTTATAACAATAATAAAAGTTATTTGAATCTTAGATATCCAAAAATTACTATATAAATTAGTGCATAAAAGTATTAAATTACAAATATTTTTTAAAAGTAAATAGGAAGAATTCCTCCGTATCGAAAAAGATGACGTAGTTTGACTTGAAATGATTTTTTTTTAAAAAAAAGACTTTTTAATTTTATGATTCTAAACTAAAATTATATTAAATGTATCAAAATGTCCTTTACTCTGGTATCTTAAACATGCCACGTAAAAAGTTAAAGTTCAAATATTATCAAAAAAAAAAGTCATTCTTTTTTAAACTGATTAATTTTTATTTTTTTAAAATGGGAAGTATTTTATTATTATTTATGATATTTTTATTTACCGCCAAATAAGTAAAGCTTACATTGTCCATTCACCACGGAAACAATGAATCAGTAAGGCGAACAAACGCGTTTGCTCTCACAACTGTGAATGATAGCTAAGAACAATGGTGTTCTTGAAATCCTCTGGTGATATTTTGCCGCAAAATTCGTCCGGAATTTGCAATTATAAGTTATTTGGTGCTATCTTGGAGATAATTGACGCGACAAATGGAGTTGCGTTGAATCGACGGAGAAGAAAACTACTTCTTACACTTTAGGTTATGCTTCTTCTTTCTGGATACTATAATATCTTTGACCGTAATACTTACAATGTTATGAAGAAAATCTACTCGGCAAGTCACAATATTGAATTATTTCTTGAAATTTTAAATTTGAAATCTCGTTCTTGCACTAGGTTATCAAATTGAGATATCCTAGGTGCTGTTTCTTTCTATTTGTATGCATGCCATATATATATTCAACATTATGTTCACAAAATCAAGAAAACCCCAAATTCTGAAGAAAATCTACTCGGCAAGTCACAATATCGATCCTCGTTTTTTTTAGATGACTAGATAGAGCCCTATGACCCAACTGATAACCCTTTCTGGATATCTGAAAAAGTACTTGGAGCTCACGTTATTTGATTAGTGTGACTGTATTGTAGTTGTTATCTATTTCTCATGATCTTGATATTTTTTTGGGATAATGCACAAGTACCCCTCCACCTATGCCTGAAATCCCGAAATCCCGGAGACACATTTATACTATACTAAGGTCCTATTACCTCCCTGAATTTATTTTATTAATAATTTTCTACTCTTCTTCGGCTTACGTAGCACTATCTCATGGGGTCAACGCTGATTGACTTTTTTTTCAACCTAGTGTCACGTAAGCCGAAAAACGGTAAGAAATTACTTATAAAATAAGTTCAGGGGATAATAGGACCTTAGTATAGTATAAGTGTGTCTCTGGGACATAGGTTGAGTGGTACTTGTGCATTTTCCCTATTTTTTTGCTTATTAACATTATTATGGCATAACACATGTGTTTGCTGATCCTACTGGGCACTAGCTACTTAACAAAGGAAAATGACGTTATCACATTGGAGGATTGCACATTCCTTTGGCTCTCCTTGCGGAAGATGCTCAATAACAACTTGGGCAGGTCCTAATTGAAGATTGCTATTTTATTTCTTTGATAATATATTTAAAGTTTGTATGATTGTCATTCTGATTTTGAGATCACTGATCACTTTATTACATTAGAGAGTTGCACAATCCTTCAATTAGTCCTTCTGAAGATGCTTAAGAATAAATTGGTACGTCCAAATCTAAGCTTGATGTGCTTTACCTTGCTATCGTTGTTTCTTCAAGTTCGTATGATTGTCATTATGATTTTTTTGGACAATCTTTAGACATCAAGATATTTCACTAAACATGTTTATGAAGCTTGTTGCAGTAGATTAGTTAAAGTGATTTAGTGTACATATTTTGCACCAACATTAGTTGGCAGTGATGTTGAGGCAAAGCAACAATATTAGCATATATATTCTTATACCTTTGTTTAGTTCTTGACTTCTTTCATAATTTTGATTTGAATGGTTTGATTGCTTATTGGCCACAAAGGATAGAGCTAGATCTATCATCCAGGACCCCACTTGTGGTATTTCACCGGACATGTTGTTGTTGTAATTTTCTGGGAGTAGAATTCTGTTTCCATAATTTTGAGGAAGTGCATATAACTTCCATGTGAAATTTGTAGTCTGTGAACTATTATCACTCAGATTTTGGGATTGTTGTCAGGTAATGATGAAGAAGAACCGTGGATTGACCATATTTACAAGAATTTTATATGGACTATGATCGATCAACTTGGGTGTTTGGCGCCAATTTATTCTGCAAACAACAAAGTAAATTTAGTCTTTTTAATTATAAATAATAATATTTACCACTCATGTTAGAAATCCTTAGCTTAACCATGTCATAGATTCGTCCCATGATTATAGCTGTCGTAGCACTATTTTGTACAGTTCAATGCTTTATCATACTGTCTATAGCAGTTTGCCATTGCTTCTTCATTTTCAGTATTTCCTTTTTTTATATGCTTTAGACTGTTTTTTCTTGAGTTGAGGGTCTAATGGAAACAACCTCTCTACCCCCAAGGTAGGTAGGGGGTAAGGTTTGCGTACGCCCATCTCTACCCTTCCAGAACCCACTTTGTTTACATTGGATATGTTGTTGTTGTTGAAATGTACAATTATATCTGTAAGGTACTCCCGAAGTCAAACATCTAGAGCACGACAAATAAACATTTATTGTTCAGACATTTTCGTCAAGAAATCCAGTCAATGGTAAAATCAAAGGTCGTTTCTTTATTAATGATGAACACATTTTAGAACTAGTCCTAATAAATATGGAAGTAGCGACAACTTCAAAATTAATGCCTAGTAACTCTCTTGGGGGTGGGGGCAAGAAAGAAAAGGGAGTTACAACATGGTGCTCCTGCTATTTAAAGGCCCTTCTCCCCTGATATGATCCAATATAGAGAAGACATGCATTTCGATAGTTCGTTAATGGAACTCCCAGAATCCTCATCAGCACTACCTTCAGAATTACAAAGACCGATTTGTATGCATAGCTCTATGCCAAGTAACAACAAAATTCAGCAGGTAATCAATACAATAAAGTCTAGTTTTCATGAGGAACTTTTTACATCTAGTACCGATTGATTTAAGCTGAGATTTGTCCCTTTGGTTTTCTTGTATATGTAGGATGAAGATGAAAGGGATCCAAAGTTTATGCAATTGCTAAAAGAAAATCTCTCCTGTTTCTGGAATCAACAAAAGGAAGAAATTCTACGTGCAGGTGTTTTTTGGCTCCTCACACGTGTTCACCTACAGAGACCACTGATATATTCCAATCATGAGTAATCTAAGGATATTCTTGAGCTTTGGCCATTTTAAGACCAGCCACGGCCCTCACATATATTTATTTTGTTAAGTATCTCGAATCATTGCATAGAGATATGTCATATATGGAATTTTTTTATTTTTTACTTTTAGACAAGGGTAACTGATGTCATATATGGAAATTTTGGAATAATACATATGCTGCTGTTTTTTCCTGTTGATTTTACCTTCAAGCAGCTGCTTCATTTTTTCTGTAGATCCAAAGAGAAAACCTGAGATGCCCATTTCAAGGATCAGACGGGCTATGAAGTCAAATGATCAAGTAAAGGTATGTTCATGGCTCTGACTTATTCCATTGACATAATTAATTCATTTTCTTTATTTGCTATTAGTTGGAACTTGAAACATTTGATCTAATACTTGTCTTATTAACTTTCATTGATCTGCTGTCTCTAACTGGGGAGTAAATTCAGATGGTTAGCGCAACTTCTACGGTTCTGTTATCGAAGGCAATTGAGATGCTTATTATGGACCTCACCTTACGTGCGTGGATGCAAGCTGATAAAGGCAAATGTCGAACTCTGAAGCGTTATGACTTTGCTAGGGCGATAAGGGATGAAGAGCTTTTCGATTTCCTCTCTGACATCGTTCCACTCCAGACCTATAAGGTTGGTTTATATGCTAGTATTCCTCTTTTATATCCCACAATAGATATTTTGAACCATGTATTTGATTCCCGACATGAATTTTGGAACGTTTGTTATAGTTGTCTTGAAGTTTAAAGTACTAAAATAGCACCAATTACCGTGCCAATTCCAGGTGCAAAAGGACGCAAATGATGGCCAAGGAAATGAACCTCACCCAGCTTATCAAGTGCTTGAACCTAGTAACATTCCAGTGAGTGCTGTTTATCCAGGCTATTTTGTCGGTGTTGTTTATGCTAAAAAAACTATTAGGTGATTTAAGCTTCATAAAACCGTACTTCTGCTTCCTGCAAAAATACTTCCTCGATATATTTTTATCATTTATATGACATTATGACTAAATAGAGTTAAACCGGATTTTTTCTTGTCTACCTATTTTGAATCCTAAAATATTGTTGTCTTATATTATAGAGTATTACCTTTTTTCTAGTGTTTAAGTATATAAAATTGTATTTCGATCTAACTGAGGAGTCAATATTCAACTTCACATGGATAATTACATACTTTGATCCATGTAAGTGAATCCTGCCATGAATTTTGGAACATTTATTAGTTAACTTACAGTTTAAGAACTAAAATATCCCTAGCTGAAGTACCAATTTCAGGTAGAAGAGGATGCGAATGGTAGCCAAGGAAATGAGTTTCACCCGGCTGGCCAAATGGTTCAGCATCAGAAAATTCTAGTAAGTCTGTCTACTATTTTAAATCCTATTATTTTAATTTGAATTCTATTCTGTAATTTTTATGTAGTCTCAGAATAGGTAAATTTATTTTGATAAAATTAAGAATCAATGTTAAACTTCACACTGATGGTTAAATATTCTGATCCCCCCTGTTCATCGATCCCATCACAAATTATTGATCATCTGTTAATTATCTTGCAATTTAAAGTACTAAAACTTCACTTAACTATTGTACCTGTTTCAGGTGGAAGAGGCAAATGATGTCCAAGGAAATAAATTTGACTTGGCTAATCGTATGGTTCAGCCTCATAACGTTCCAGTGAGTGATAATGACTTCCAATCCTACATAGTACCATGTAAACTTTATTCCAAATAAAAGTAGCATGTTGTTTATCATAAAAAACAATGTGGTACAACATCTGCCATTATCAATTTAATATCTTATAGGTGGGCCATTGGTCATCATAATATTGACATTTTCTTCAGGGGAAGGCTCACTAAGATAGCTTGCTACCTGGGCCTTTGCGCACTGCCTAGTTGACACGATTAGTACTCAGAGAGTCAATTCAATATTTTCCTATATACCTACTTTGAATCCTAAACTGTTGTAATTTATATATTGCGGAGTAGTATCTTTTTGTAGTCTCAAAATATGTAAATTTTATTTCGATCCAAGTGAAGAGTCAGTGTTCAACTTCACACAAATATTTACATATTTTGATCCATGTAGTTGAATCTTGCCATGAATTTGTGATGTTTGTTAGTTATCTTACAGTTAAAGTACTAAAATGGCACAAGCTACAGTGCAACTTTCAGGTGCAGGTCCAGGCAAATGATGGTGAAGGATATGAAGTTCACCCAGCTTATCAAATGGTTGAACCTAATAAGACTTCAGTGAGTGCTGTTTATCCTGGCTAATTTGTTGGTGGTGTTAATCCTTAAAAAACTATGTGGTGATTTGAACTTCACAAAGTCGTACTTATACTTCTTGTTAAATACTTCCTCTATATATTTTGTATAACACGATTACTACTTATACTTCTTGTTAAATACTTCCTCTATATATTTTGTATAACGCGATTACTACTCTGAGAGTCAAATCAATTTTTTCCTGTATACCTTTTTGAATCCTAAAATATTGTAATCTAAATTTTATGGGGTAGTACCTTTTTTGTAATCTCAAAATATGTATATATTATTTCGATTTAAATGAAGAGTTAATGTTTAACTTCACAGAGATAAGTGCATATTTTAAACCATGTATTTGAATCCCGACATGAATTTTGGAACGTTTGTTAGTTTTCTTAAAGTTTGAATTACTAAAGTAGCACTAGCTACCATGCCAATTTCAGGTACTTAAGGTGGCAAATGATGGCCAAGGAAATGAATCTAACCCTGCTTATCAATTGGTTCAACCTAATGACATTGCTGTGAGTGCTGTTTATCCAGGCTATTTTGTTGGTGTTGTTATGCTAAATAAACTATTAGGTGATTTAAACTTCATATAGTCCTTACTTGTTCTTCCTGCAAAAATACTTCCTCGATTTATTTTTTTATTTACATGACATTGTTACTATTTAGAGTTAAATCAATTTTTTCTTGTGTACCTATTTTTAATTCTAAAATATTGATATCTAAATTTTATGGAGTATACCTTTTTTCCAGTCTTCAAATATATAAAATTGTATTTTGGTCTAACTGAGGAGTCAATGATCAACTTCATATGCATAATTACATATTTTGGTCCATGTAATTGAATCCTGCCATGAATTTTGGAACATTTATTAATTCACTTACAATTAAAGATTTAAAATAACACTAGCTAAAGTACCAATTTCAGGTGGAAGAGGACTTGAATGGTAGCCAAGGAAATGAATTTCACCCGGTTTGTCAAATGGTTCAGCCTAATAACATTCCAGTAAGTGAAACTACCTTGTAAACCTTCATCTGAATTAACAGTAACAAACTGTTTAGGCAAATTTGGTGGTTTGCTTTATCTTCATCCACCCCCAAAAAAGTTGAACACTTGCTGGGAACTAACACAACCTAAGTTTTTGATCTTATTTATGTAGGCTTCTTTTATCAGTCACCGAGGAATTCCAGTGCCTCTGGTTGATTTATTTCCTGAATTTGAGTTCAATAGTCATGATCTTTTAATGGAAGAGGCAAATGATGTGCAAGGAAATAAATTTCACCTTGCTAATCAAATGGTTCAGCTTCAGAACATTCCAGTGAGTGATACTGACTTTCAACACTGCATGTGTAAAATACCTAGTAAACTTTATTCCAAGTAACACTAGCATATTGTTTATCCTGGGTAATTTGTACTGCTGTTTATTCTAAAAAACAATGAGGTATATCTGCTCTTATTTCTGTAACATCTGATACGTGGGTCATTGGTCCACATGATATTATTAACCTTTTCTTCAGGGGGAAGACTCGCTAAGGTAGCTTGCTGCTACCTGGACTCACTGCCTACGCGTTGCACTACAAGTCAGGCTTGGTCCCTCCTCCACATACACACATTTATGTGTGTGTGTGTGTATATATATTATACATATAAAGAAATTTAAACTTCAATAAGTTGTATTTTTGATGATATCTCCAAAAATCTTTCCTTTCTCCATTACTCTCCATCCTTCTTTACTTTTTTCTGCCCTATAAACAAATTATTCATCTTTTTTGTACCTGCCATCATTACTACCTAAGAGAGTCAAAACTATCTATTGTTGTCTACCTCGTTTGTGTTCTGAAATATTGTAATTTAAGTTTTATGGGTAGTAACTTTTAAGTAGTTTCAGTGTATAAATTTTGTTTCAATTTAATTTAGTAGTCAATGTTCAACTTCACACATGTAATTACATATTTTGATCCTCGTATTTGAATCCTGTCATGAATTTGGAACGTCTACTAATTTTTTTTTTTATAGTTTTAAGTACTAAAGTAGCATTAGCTGAGGCAGCTGTACCAATTTCAGGTGCAAGGAGAAGAAAATGATGGCCAAGGCAATGAATTTGAGCCAGCTTCCAATGTTCAGCCTGATAACATTCCGGTGAGTTATAATGACTTTCAGAATTACATGTGCAAAACCTTCATCAGAATTGACTGTAGCGTGCTATTTATCTAGGATATTTTTTTTATATATAGTTTTAAGTACTAAAATAGCATTAGCTGCAGTTGCTGTACCAATTTCATGTGCGAGGGGAAGAAAATGATGCCCAAGGCAATGAATTTAACCAAGCTTTTAATGTTCAGCCTAATAACATTCCGGTGAGTTATAATGACTTTCAGAACAACATGTGCAAAAAATTCACATCAGAATTGACTGTAGCGTACTATTTATCTAGGTTAATTTTTTTATTGTTTTAATTACTAAAATAGCATTAGCTACAGCAGCTGTACCAATTTCAGGTGCGAGGGGGAGAAAATGATTACCAAGGCAATGAATTTGAGCCACCTTCTAATGTTCAGCCTATTTACATTCCGGTGAGTTATAATGACTTTCAGAACTACATGTGCAAAAAATTCATTAGAATTGACTGTAGAGAGCTATTTATCTAGGTTAATTTTTTTTTAATAGTTTATGTACTAAAATAGTGTTAGCTGCAGCAGTTGTACCAATTTCAGGTGCGAGGGGAAGAAAATGATGGCCAAGGCAATGAATTTGACCCAGCTTCTAATGTTTTGCCTAATAACAATCCGGTGATTTATAATGACTTTCAGAACTACTTGTGCAAAAAATTCATCAGAATTGACTATAGCTTTCTATTATCTAGGTTAATTTTTTTTTATAGTTTTAAGTACTAAAATAACATTAGCTGCAGCAGCTGTATCAATTTCAGGTGCGAGGGGAAGAAAATGATGGCCAAGACAATGAATTTGAGCCAGCTTCTAATGTTCAGCCTAATAACATTCCGGTGAGTTATAATGACTTTCACAATTACATGTGCAAAAAATTCATCAAAATTGACTGTAGAGAGCTATTTTTCTTGGTTAATTTTTTTTATAGTTTTAACTACTAAAATAGCATTATCGGCAGCTGTACCAATTTCAGGTGCGAGGGGAAGAAAATGATGGCCAAGGCAATGAATTTAACCAAACTTCTAATGTTTTTAACATTCCGGTGAGTTATACGACTTTCAGAATTACATGTGCAAAACCTTCATCAGAATTGACTGTAGCGTGCTATTTATCTTGGATATTTTTATATATATATAATTTTAAGTACTAAAATATCATTAGCTGCAGTTGCTGTACCAATTTCAGGTGCGAGGGGAAGAAAATGGTGGCCAAGGCAATGAGTTTAACCAAGCTTTTAATGTACAGCCTGATAACATTCCGGTGAGTTATGACTTTCAGAACAACATGTGCAAAAAATTCACATCAGAATTGACTGTAGCGTGCTATTTATCTAGGTTAATTTTTTTATTGTTTTAAGTACTAAAATAGTATTAGCTGCAGCAACTGTACCAATTTCAGGTGCGAGGGGGAGAAAATGATTACCAAGGCAATGAATTTGAGCCACCTTCTAATGTTCAGCCTATTAACATTCCGGTGAGTTATAATGACATTCAGAACTACATGTGCAAAAAGTTCATTAGAATTGACTTTAGCATGCTATTTATCTAGGTTAACTTTTTTTAGTAGTTTTAAGTATTAAAATAGTGTTAGCTGCAGCAGTTGTACCAATTTCAGGTGCGAGGGGAAGAAAATGTTGGCCAAGGCAATGAATTTGACCCAGCTTCTAATGTTCAGCCTAATAACATTCTGGTGAGTTATAATGACTTTCAGAACTACATGTGCAAAAAATTCATCATAATTGACTATAGCTTTCTATTTATCTAGGTTAATTTTTTTTTTTTTATAGTTTTAAGTACTAAAATAACATTAGCTGCAGCAGCTGTACCAATTTCAGGTGCGAGGGGAAGAAAATGATGGCCAAGGCAATGAATTTAACCAAGCTTCTAATGTTTTTGACATTCCGGTGAGTTATAATGACTTTCATAATTACATGTGCAAAACCTTCATTAAAATTGACTGAAGCGTGCTATTTATCTAGGATTTTTTTTTTATATATAATTTTAAGTACTAAAATAGCATTAGCTGCAGTTGCTGTACCAATTTCAGGTGCGAGGGGAAGAAAATGATGGCCAAGGCAATGAATTTAACCAAGCTTTTAATGTTCAGCCTGATAACATTCCGGTGAGTTATAATGACTTTCAGAACAACATGTGCAAAAAATTCACATCAGAATTGACTGTAGCGTGCTATTTATCTAGGTTAATTTTTTTTTATTGTTTTAAGTACTAAAATAGCATTAGCTGCAGCAGCTATACCAGTTTCAGGTGCGAGGGGGAGAAAATGATTACCAAGGCAATGAATTTGAGCCACCTTCTAATGTTCAGCCTATTAACATTCCGGTGAGTTATAATGACTTTCAGAACTACATGTGCAAAAAATTCATTAGAATTGACTGTAGCGTGCTATTTATCTAGGTTAATTTTTTTAATAGTTTTAAGTACTAAAATAGCATTAGCTGCAGCAGCTGTACCAATTTCAGGTGCGAGGGGGAGAAAAAGATTACCAAGGCAATGAATTTGAGCCACCTTCTAATGTTCAGCCTATTAACATTCCGGTGAGTTATAATGACTTTCAGAACTACATGTGCAAAACCTTCATCAGAATTGACTGTAGCGTGCTATTTATCTAGGCTAATTATTTATCTAGGCTAATTTTTTGGTGCTGTGCATCTTAAAAAAACTATTGAGGGGATTTAAACTTCATAGGGCCGTAATTGCACTTCCTGCAAAATGCTTCTATATATTATATGTGACTCCATTAGTACTCAGAGCGTTGAACTGATCTTTCCTCTGTACCTATTTTTAATCCTAAACTGTTGTAATTTTAATCCTATGTCTCAGAATATGTTTGTTTTATTTCAATCTAAATGAATAGTCAATGTCCAACTTCACACAGATAATTACACATTTTGATCCATGTATTTGAATCCTGAGATGAATATTGGAACTTTTGTTAGTTATCTTATGGTTTAAAGTAGTTTCAGGTGCAGGCGGAGGCAAATGATGGCCAAGGAAATGAATTTCACCCAACTTATCAAATGGGTCAACCTAATAACATCCCAGTAAGTGAAACTACCTTGTAAACCTTCATCCAAATAAACAGTAACGAACTGTTTAGGCGGATTTTGTGCTTTGCTTATCTTCATTCCCCAAAAACTTCGTTCAACACTTTCTGAGAACTATCACAAGCTAATTTTTTGTGTGTTATTTATGTAGGCTTCTTTCATCATTCCAGAGCCTCTCATGCTACCACCTCTGATCAATTCATCCCCTGAACCTGAGTTTGACATAGGTGAATTTTTAATGGACATTGAGGAGGGACTTTAAAGTGGGAGTTAAACTCAGTTACTAGGTGTTTAGACCAAAAAAAAGTGTTATGTTTTAGGACTTTCTGCTGAAAGAATGCAGTGTCTGTGTTAAGTGGTGTAAGCAAAATGCTTCTAGCTACATTGACCCTGTTTTCCTTTTTCTTTTTTAAAAATAAATAAGCTAATTTGGGTGATAATACATTTTTATTGTAGTAAACAAATTATTATCTAATTTCTAGATGCTCTATCTCATTATTTTTGTTCCCTCACCATTGATATATATCAATGGATATTCCAATATAAGAAGAAAAGGTGAGGGAATAAGAATTGTAAATGCATATTGCAGGACAGGTATCAAAAGGAGCTCAAAATTAAGATGCCTCAAAATCTTACTAAATTTTATGCTTCTCAAATATTCTAAAATTCCTTCATAAAAGTTAAAATTCCCACTTATAACGTTTACAGTCCATACGCATCTTCAGTTTTCTTGTGCGTAACCGATGACAGTTCAATATTTTTATTTTTGAAAAAAAAAAGTACTTGACTCTTAGTAATATTTTAACTTAACTAAGTCGAGTCTATCACAAACATAAGATAGAGATAAATTTCGTTTATGTTTGTTAGAATTGACATGGTGTCTGTTTAGATAAAGCTTTTAAAAGTAACTTAAAAAACACTTTTTAACTTTTTCAAACACGGAAAAAAAACAACGAAGAACACCTAAAACTTGGCTGATCGAAACTTGCTTATAATCAAAAGGGTGCAATTCTATAAAGGGAAAGTCTAAGAATGGTACTAACTTTATATGGAGGCATAACTCTTTCCTCTTTTAGATAAATACTTGCTTTGATTCCATTTATTTATAACATGATAATTGATATGATATTTGTTTCCTTTTGACTCTTCAATAATTTTTTTATATCAATGGACGAAGGCTATTGTACAGAGAATTTTTAAAGATTTAGGTTTTTGAATAGAGAATTTTTGAACTTGAAATCTTGGTTGTATTTATGCATATAATTTTAAAAATATTGTGACATTTTAAAATTACAAATACTAAATGTACGTTGATATGTGTCAAAACCTTTTTTTTGTTCTTAAATTTTATGTATTTTTTCTACAAAAAGTATTTATCTTTAAAAAGTGAGGTGCTTGATCAACTTTTGAAGAAAATAAGTGCTTTTAAAAAATTACAAAAGTTGTTTTTTACTCTAGAAGTTAAAGATAAAACAATAAATTATCTCTCCTCAAAAATACTTTTCAAAATAAGCTGATCATAATATAGTTAATTAATTATAGATCGACTAGAAATAAGAATAATGCTAAAGCTTTTAGGGTGAAGACAGGTGGAATGTGTTCAATGCCCATTTAGATGACCAAAGAAAAAAATTAAAAAAGGAAAAAGGAATAAAATCCAAATATTGGAATATGATATATTATATTATTAATATAAATGGATCATTGTGATACGAAATTTTTGGTGGGGGATTAATCTTCAACTTCACTTTTTTCTCCATGTTCCCTGGCCACTTGCAATATAGTTTGTCCCTAAAATTAACTCATAAAAATATAATTTATAAATTAATATGTAATTCATGAAATTTTGTTAAGAAGATTCTTTTTTATATGCACAATAAATAAAGAAATTAATTTTTAAAGAAAAAAATTAATTAGTGTATTAGATTATAACCCTCTTTAAATAAGATTCTTTTTTGAACATCTAAATACATGATAATATTTTTCTTACTGCATTTTTAAAGGTACAATTATTAATTAAAGAAGAGAAGAGAATACGTCATGATTAAATCTTTTATTTATTTTCACACCTCAAACATTTTTTGTGGCTAATTACTATTGCAAAGAATTAGTGTTGATTCGTTTGGCACCAACAAACTCCATCTGATTATATTCTAATTAATCCACTAATGATGAAAGCTTTACGTGACGCATGACCAAATTAATGCAAATTATATACTCCTTTTTAAGTCTTAACCCCACAGATTTAAAGTGTTTTGACTGATTTGAGCTAATATATGCTTCTCTTTTAACAAATGCCAGTACCACTCCAACAAATAAACAAGCCACTATATATTTTTGATTTTTTAACCACTAATAATTATCATTATATAAAAAAATATATAAATACACATTTTATTTAGAAATATCTATTATTCTTTTTACAAAAATTATTTTTTTTTTCCAGTATTCCCTCTGAATGCATCTCTCTCCTATGTATCCGGATGTCATATTCCCTATCTGATCGTCCCTCTCTATTCGGTTACCTCTCTTTCCTATGTAACTAAATGTCTGCTAATGTATTCACAAGTCCAAGTGATGTATTCGAAATTATAAAATTTAAGGAATTCTTATAATTTGAAAAAGAAGTAGAAAATAATGTAATTAGCTCTTAACGCTATGAAATTTATGTAAATTATATAATTATTATGTACTCCTTCCGATTCATATGACATATCTTACTTTTAACCTTTACATTTTGTTCAAAATAAGTAATTTTATTGTAACTAAGAATGTATTACTATTATTTAGTTTTTCAAATTTACGCCTTCTTTTGATAAGTGGGTTTTAACTTTTAACGTAACCAAGAAATGATATTAAATATGTACTATATAATTAAGAATAATTAGTAAAAACAATTTTTAATATTTTAGGACCTAAACTTTTTATTTTTTTGTGCGACATGTTACCTAAAAGATAGTAAAAAAATAATTGCCAATAATAAATGGAATAATTTTACTAGAAAATAAACATAGGAAAAGAAATATACGTAACACATTAAATTATATCAACGGATCATTAAAATTCTTTTGTATTGTCTATATAATACTATATAAAAGTAAAGAATTCTATAAAATTAATTTGAGTTGACATAGAAAAACTGTTTTGGGTTAAATTTTTTACTAGTTGTGCACTATTTATCTTCGATCTATAAATAGATCGACATGTTGGAAAACACTCAAACCATCCTATGCTATAAGATAATATATAGCTACATTTCTTAGATAACTAGAAACCTCCATTAGCTTCCTATTCTCATAAGCAAATCTCCAATCATAATTTACAAACTGAGACTCGATGTATGATCAGTGATAGATTTAAAATTTAGATATCACAAGTGATATGTTTAGATCATAAGGGTCTAGAAATGCATATCTAACTCGATGTATTCTATGTTGCACTTTGTCCCGCATCACCTCACAACTGTAAGTATAAATTATTTCAAAGAGAGCAGGAAAGTATTGGGTGAGATATTGTTGACAGAAGATAGAGAGCACGAATAATGAGGTGCTAATTGGAAGCTGCACCTTAATTCTTTGTGCTCTCTATTCTTCTGTCATCATCTTCAGTCCCTCCCCGACCCTCTCTACCTTAATTTATTTCTACGTTTATTGTATTTAAATTTCCCTATATGTCCTCCTTTATCTTCAAAATCGAAAAATGAAGTTATATTAATTTGTTTAGTGTAACTTAACTCTTGACCATGCTGCTTCCGATCAAGAAAGGGTTTTATTGATGATAGTTAATTAGTTACGTTAGCTTATAAATTACAAACTTCTAGAAAAGTTCTATGACTATTTATTGATACAATTCACATCGATGTAATGAAAGTGAAAAATTCATAATAATTATAGAAAATCATGAATAATCGATTCGTTTGACAACTATAATATAGTCTCACAAAATCTTTTATCTTTGCCTTAAATTACATCTTTGCCTTAAATTACATCAAAAAATGATTTGTAAACTTTATTATGATCACCCTTCATTGGAGTCCCTGAATTCCATCATTAAGAAGTGTATCCATAGTTTCTTGTACTAATTTCTCTTGACGTAAATTTATTCGCTGTTAGAGGGTTGTTGAGTCTCACATCGGCTTCACTTAAGAATAATAGATCTATTAATATGGTCGCGGATAATCTATGATTCTTTTATAAATTAGTCTTTTGGATTGAGTTAGACCTAAAGTTTATTAATCGTTAGCTCTACTTGTTTACTTGGAATACTTGCTCTTTTATAGAGAGTTAACAACACATTTGTCCTTGATGATCATAATATTTACGTTACTTCCATTTTATCATTTTTTTTTGTTGATTAATTACTAGTAACAATTTGATTTTCAAATACTCTACTATCTTAGTTTATAAACTTGTGAATATATATAAATGACCTACTTTGGAAAATGCTTGTTTGAAAAGCACACATTTCTTACTTTGACTTGTAAGCTTTATTCAATTACGTTGACTTTTTATATGAACCATATTTAACTCTCCTTAGAGAATAATAATAACTAAGGGTATCAAATGAGTGGGTTGAGTTGAAATCGAGAATATTAAAATGGGTTATAATAAAAGGTGGGTTGGATTTTGTCCCGTCCAAGTTTACTTTGAGCTCAAATGGGCTAAAAAACGGGCTGGGTCTTGACCTGCTCAATTTTACCCGATTAATCTCAATAATTTGTCATTTGATATTTAACTTTTATATTCACAAATTTGAATTTTAGCTCAAGAATTGTTTTCTAAAAAAGTAACAAATGAATAGATAAACCCTAAAAGATGTTAAATAGAGAATAATTCATACCATAAATATAGGAACATATCTTAACAAAAAGTTTTAAAACGAGTTGAAATTGGAGATTGAATTGAGCTCAATCGAGGATTCTCCTCAAATGGGTTATGCTTGAATGAGTTGAGATTGAACCCAATTCAAATTATCTTGAGTCCAATCCTTAAAATTCTGAACGGATTGAGGTGGTTTACCTATGTTTGGGTTCATTTTTGACACCCCTAATAATAAGCATAGAAAAAGGGTTAAACTTGGAGAAAAAAAAAAGGATTCAAACGATTAAAAATGGAAACAAAATGCCAACTTGCTCTTAAGCTTATTAAAGAGGAGAGCATATACTATAATTGAAGACCGTAAATATAGTTACTATTGAACATATCTGTAGAAAGGTGAATCAATATGTAGATTTTCTAGCAAATGAAGGTCACAGATATGAAAAATATTTTCTAATTAAGGAAGCCACACTGAACTGAATAGAGTTTCGTTTGATGAAAATTTTATACATGAAGTCTTAGAATTTTTAATAAAAAATATTCTAATTTTTTCTAATGTCTCCGAATTTTTTTTAATTAATTAAAATTAATACATCTTCAAGTGCTTCAAGTGCTAGAGAGTAGAGCCTATACAAGTAGGGAAAATTGTATATAATAGCAAACTAATAACCTAAAATAAATGGAATAGCTAGGGTTTGATTTAATTGTGCTTCATAGCAAACGTTAGCTAAAATTTGCCAGCGTCTCTCTCCAAGAAATCTCGCTCGCCACTCTCCATTCTCGCTCGCCTCTCTCGCTTTATACACAGAAGTGTATAATTCTGTTTTGTATAAAGCAAGAGAAAATTGTATATACACATGCAAAAATATATATTTTCGCGTTATACACTTAATTATTCAATTTACAAACATTTTACTTCAAATATTGCAGAGAAAAAGGTCAACGAATTATACAATTGCAGTGAAATACAATTTTCTCTAGCTTTATACAACAGAAGTGTATATATTGTGTTTCTGTTTTTTATAAAGCGAGAGAAAAACATATATATTCTTGCTATACACTTAACATTGCAGACGAAATAGGCAGTGAATTATACAATTGTGCATTATACAATTGCAGTGAAATAGGATAGCGAATTATACAATTGCAACGAAATAGGCCAGCGAATTATACACTTGTATATGTATAGCGAATTATACAATTTTATGTTTACTATGAAGCGTAATTATGCAAAGTTTACTATAGCATACGAATATGAATTTTTTATTTGCTATATGTGAAAGTTATTCATACAAGTATTATTACAGACTCTCATGAAAACTGGACCATTTTAGTACTGAGCCGGGCCTCAGCAAAGGCCCAATCATGTATTCAAATTTCAAAGGCAACCATTGAAATTTTGCAAATTTTCCTTTTCGAATTAAGCTATTTCGTAATAAATGACTTGTTTTATTTTTCTCGTAATGTCAAACCACTACCTAATTTTTTTTTTGAGGTAACTGAAAAAGTGATGAAAAAAAGTTAGATCATGATCTAAGAATTTGAGAACTATCACAGTATAATATTTAATGAGCAAACTAAAAAAATTAAATAAGCAAGTATTAAATCCGGTTTAAAAGTGACCGAAAATGCGAATTCCTCAATAATTATATTTGTAATTAATGTTTTTAAAAGGAAAAAGTACTTAAATGAATATCTTTTAATAAATAATTACTAATTTTAGTGGTACTTTTGATTTATTACTCTATAATTTATAGCAACGAATAGCATATTATGATATATCTGCAATATGTACTAAAAGTGAATTACGGATGTAATATATATATATATATATAAAACTTGTATTATATGTGTTTTATAAATTGTTCTATGTAATATGAATTAAAACTGTATCATAATATATTAAAAGTGATGAAGTAAAAAATAACAGACATTTGAGTATATCCGTGGTACTTACATTGGGGAAAAAAAAAAGGAAAATGAAAACACACAAAAGAAGAGTCACGATGACATAAAATTTTCAAAAATTGAGAAATTTATGTCTAACAAAAAAACCTTTCACATTAGGAATGAGAAAGCAAATGCGTGTATTCACATAAAATGAGAACTTGATGGCGCAAGTCCTTATCCAGAAATATCATCCTCCGCTATATTTATTTGATTTGACAAAAAATTTAATTATTTTGTTTTTTTTTAAAAAGTTTATGACTTAAAATAGTTTATAAATATTTATTTAATTATAAACGATAGTTATTCTTTTGAAATTAATTTTTTTTTAAAGTGTCACATAAATTAAAATGAATACTTTGTACACGTACTTCACCATCTTTATCACAAACCTAATTTTCTTAGTATATGTTGGAGTGTTGGACTTTTGTAAAGCTCTCTCAACTACCTAAGCTTTCACTTACCCTTTTTGAAACTACTAGTCCATGATGACACCACCACAAAAATTTCTTTTGTTTCTTTCCTATTTAAAGGTCTAGTTTTGTTTCATTGCATAAAGAATACTAACACACACAACAAAATCACTATATACTCCCTCTACTATTATGGCATACCATAGAAGACATTCTCCACCAAGACCACCAGGTCCACCACCCCACCCCACCCATAATTTGGCACCACCACCACCACCACCACCTCGAGGTGTATATACACCACCACCGCCTTATCCTCCTCCAGTAGTTGTACTTGTCAACGATTATGCTCCTCCACCTCCACCCCCTGCACCACCTCTAGGGCCACCACCACCACCTCGTCCTTCTCCTCCACCGTATAGTTATGATCATTATCATCATCCATCTCCACCGTACTAGTATTGAGTTGGAGCTGGAGCTGGAGGAGGATAGCAGAGGATGCTTACTGTCTGAGCAACTACTTATATATGATCATATATGTAACTTATATATAGCTTGTTGTCTTACTAGTCTTCTATAGGTAATTATAAAAAGATGATTGGTTTCCTTCTCCTAGATTTTGAATTATTACATTTTGTTGCTTTATACAACAAATAAAGAGAGCCAAGTCTAAGTTCATGGAATAAGATAATATAATTTCAAGATATTTCATGCTATTATTTTATCGAATCCCATCATTTTAGTATTAGTAAAAAGGTGTGATATTATTGTCTATTCCATCCCAACAATCAAACGACCTTTGAGAGTTAAAAAGAGATTCTAATTAGTTAAAGAAATGGACGTTTGTTAGCTCATGAGATGATCAAGATCATATAAAAAGACTTTCTCAAATATTTATTTTTTTGTGAATCCCAATGGACCTTCTTCATCAACCCTCGTTATATAATTTGTCTTCTTGAATTCAAGCTAAGAATAAGAAGTTTTGGTGTTTTCAGTTGGCCAGTAAGCGCGCACACTCTTTTGAATGAAATATTCTTTCCCTAGCAATTGATGCCTGTAATTCAAACAAAAAAATTGAAGTTATTTACCACAAACATATAATGCTATCTTCAAAAAAACAATTAGTAGTAATTAATTAGTTGTGTTGAGTGATAACCTGATTTTGCCAATCTGTGAGACATGTTATAAGGAAAAACAGAAGAGATTGTACTAATGAGCCTGCATTTAGTCCTATCCAGAGCCCCTTCCCTTTTAAATGGAGAAAGAAACCCAACAATATGGCTACTGGGATTCCAACCAGATAGTATGAGCCAAGATTGACATAAGCTCCCAAATGCTGCCATCCGCTTCCTCTTGCAACGCCTATAGTATACAACATGAGTAACTATAAGGAAGGCCTCACATATAACGATCATGAGAAGTTGAGATACAGAACGATTATGATGTAAATTGCTCTGAACACCGCGAACATTGTAAAGGGCTGAAACTGTTAATGAAATTGCACATTGTGCACTAAATTTATATCTCACCAGAAAGTACAGCCTGAATGCAGTCTGTCGCAATCAAGAGACAAAGAAGTGGAGTCATGTCTCTGAGATAATCCACTACTTCCTTCTCGTTACTGAATGCATATCCCAGAATGCGACAGGAGCAAAGAAGAATGATACTTGCAACTATGGCCTCTGCCATTCCGAGTACAGTTACTGACATGACAGACATTCTAGCTGCTTCAGGATTCCCAGCACCTAGTTCATTAGAAATTCTAGTGCTACAAAGGAAAAGAATGTTCTTTTTAGGCCATAATTGTGCACAGAGGTAGGTAACATATGCATGAAGCTAGCAGAGAGAATTTGAGCGAACCTTGCACCAGCACCAATAGAAAATGGTATGAAATAATTAAGCGAAGAAACTAAGAGGCTGTCAGGAAAACCAGCACATATCAGTAGTGATTTATTCATAAATAGAATGCTGACAACCAGCACATATCAGTAGTGATTTATTCGTAAATAGAATGCTGACAATTCTAAGACTAATATAATTTTACCATATTGAGAGCACTGAAGTTTCAAGCTGAGGTTTTGGTAAGAGACCAGCAAGCAGTATCACTATCTCGGATGTCCACCATTCAAGACTGTGATCATCACGACGTTCTTTTGATTAGAATAGAGAATAAAGGCGTAAAACCACATGCATTATGCTGTTGATTTAAGGAGGAGGAGAACATTTACCAAACCATGCTAGCGGAAGGGATAGCCAAATGGAAGAATTCCTTTGTGCTAGGTAAAACTTCTTTAGTGAAACAAAGACGAGTCTTTTCACAAGAGGAAGAGTATTTGACATATAAACAAAGCAAGAACACATTGAACCAATAAGATAATCCAATTGCAATTGCAGCTCCACCACTTCCCAAGTTTAGCTTGAATACAAGCGCCCAACAGAGAGGCACGTGAAAGCAAAGAGCTGCAATGGAGCTCATAAGCATTGGAAGAATCAAGCTTTGAGTCTGCAAGTACCGGATCAATGCTTGTAGAATAGCATAAGGAAATAAAGTAGCAATGAGCCAACTTGAATATTTGCCTGCTTCTATGGAAATAAGAGGGTCTTGACCTATCAGTATAAGAAATTTGTCCACGAAAAGCCACAGAACAGATACCGGTATGCAAACCACAAGCAGAGAGATAATTGCCCCATTCGTGTAGATTCCTAGCTTCCGGTATTCTTCAGCTCCATAAGCTTGTCCACAGAGAGTCTCTAAAGCACTAGACATTCCAAACTGCAAGTTTACCATACGAAAGATGAGATAGCAAACATTCAGCTACTTCAATCTGTTCTTATCTTTGACGAGTCTAATATATCTCAAATGCTATTCCATCAAGAGGTATAAATTGTTTTAAGGCTAAAATTTCATGCAGTATTCTAGCTAAGCCTAAAAGCAAGCAACACACTGTAACATCACAACTTTATAGCTACCTCACTTGGATTGAGCTAAAGAAAACTCAAAATGCTATTTGATCTCATGGAAAAAATTTCGTATTTGAAACAAACTCGATAGAATCCAAAACTCCGTTTCATAATCAATTACTGAGACACCTAATGTACTACATTTGAGTCATAAAAAGCAAATGAAATTGAAAAGCAGAGGAAAGGAAGTTTACAAGGAGACTGAATCCAGTAACATTGGTGAGAGAGATAGCAATAGCAGCACCAGAAAGGGAAAGTTCACTGAGATGACCAATCATCATCATAGACACAACCCTCAAAAGGTGTTGTGATACAGTAACCACCACCATGGGTATTGCTATATAGCTAACCTTCTTCAACTCTTCCACAAACACACCCCATCTTCGTCCCCGCAAACTTCCCTCTAACAATGCTTCTTCCATTTATTTACTAGCTTAACTAAATCTGATTTGTGTTATCATTTCAGTGTAGATTTACTATTATTCTCATCATCTTCTTTCTTTTGCCCCAGGATAGAGTGGAGAGCTCTCTTTATTAGTATAATATATCTCTCCTGCAAATCTGATTAGGCGCACACAAAATCTGTATTATATTAATCAACGTATCAAACAAATATTATTCCTTTGTTGTTTTTTTTTGTCATTATACAATGCACTATCTTTTTAGTCACGCACGTTCCTATCAAAAGTGATCAAGCAACTTTACGAAGGTGGGGTGGGGAAACTTAAATTATAATTTCATTTGAATTCATTTACTTCGATTCAGACCCTATAAAAGTTAAATTCATTGTGTATGTAGAATCTGAATTCAAATTCATAATACTTAAATCTTCAATCCGTGGAACATCAATTAGAAATATTCACAAGAAATGTGACAAGGAAAGTAACAAGATTACCTAGAGTGTTTATTTGAAGATGGTTTAGAGTAAAATGCAACAATTGGACTATATGAATGATTAACTAATTGATTAAAAAAACAAAGATTTTGACGTCTAATTGAATGAGGGGTTGGAGTGGGAGGCTTGATGATTTTTCTGGATGTTGAAAGAATCCTTCATGCCACCATTTTCAACTTAATTATTTTGAGCTTCGAGTAGAATGACCTGCCTTTCACTATAATAAAAATAAGTTTTCGCGGTAATAAATATAGAATGATAAAATTTTTATCGGCATTAATTAAGTGTTATTATAATTAATGTCGCTTTAGAAATATATACAAAGAGGATTAGTTTATGCTAAAAATACATATTTAATGACATTTAAGAATTAATCACTGCTAATGATATTTTTTCGTGTGGTGTTTGCACTTCCGCAGTGTTATATAGACAGGCACACACATCCATGCTTGAAAAAGATTTATTAATTGGTACGTCAGTTTAATGATAATATACTTTTACAGTTCATATTCTAGTGATTTATACGTTAAACTACACTTAAACAGGGTAGAAACAATGTTGTAGTTGAGTGTCGAAAACCCATAACTAGTTGTGGCTAAGACATCAATCAATATCAAATAAGAAAGAAAATTATTTTTTGGTTGGTTCCGTCATGACAAAAGTAAATGGAAGGATTGTTCTTGTAATTCTTGGATGATAACGAAGAAAATTATAGTAATTTATTTGTCCACATTCAATTTTACACGATCCTTTAGAAATAATAAATAAATTGTATTGGACAAATAAAAAATATCTGAGGTATCTTTAAATTCTCACAAAATTTTGTTTGATCTTCTTTGAATATTGAACTGGTAATCATACTTCTTTTTTAATAAATAACTGTTTCTTGAATGTAAACTTTAATTCTAGCTGTTTTATTTAAAAATTATTATTAACTATTTTTTGGTTTAAAAAATGAAAAAATATTGACTAGGTTTTGAAAAATCAATTAATCTTATTATTTAAGAAAAATCGACTTTTCGAATTACGGAGTCGCCACTTGATTTTGATAAAATCAAGAAAAATTTCAAAAGATTTAAAACAGATTAAAATCAATTGAAAAGCAAAGGTTCGAAGTTCAATGTACATCCCGAGAAGGTATTAGGCCCTCGGGATGTCCGCTAACTTGCGGTTGACCGGCGATTTGACTAAATGACTATTAAAAATAAATTGTTAACTAAATAAAAAGAAATTCGTTTTAATATTTTTTATTTTCATTGTTATTATTTTTATTTATTTCTAAAGGGAGATATTTTGAGGAAATTAATTTAAGGAAAACTAAATTGTGATAAAAGTAAGTAAAACAAAAATAATAAAATTTAAATAATGAAAAATGGCTACCCCTTTAGGAGATTTTTTAAAATTCTACCAAGATATTAAATAATTCAAACAAATAAATAATAGAGAAAGAAATATTTGAACTTGGGCTTGATTGCCCAAATTCATTCAATTGGGCTTTGGCCCACCTGTCCTAATCTATTTACTTAGATTTGGGCCCTTTTAAAAAAAACCTGCAGAGACAAACGGCCTTTGGGCCTGTTAATAAAAAGGGGGCTGAAGGGCCCTGGCCCAATCCTGAAAAAGAATCACAAAGTACACAAGTGTATACATACTGTATACAGCATATATTTGACCCATTCGGACCTCTCAAGCCCTGCACCTATTTGAATATATATTTTCCGTTACTTTTCCCTGTATTGCCCTGCGTATTTGTACCTGTATCATTTTTTTAAACCTGTTTAACAATTGTATATCGTTGCCCGATAATGTATACTAATGTATACGGGCTGCACCCTACGTCCGCATTGTTTGCCTAATTCCGAATTTTAATTAGAATAGGCGTCCCTCTACGTTCCCCTGCCAATCACATTTTTTACACATATTTATATTATATCGTGTCTGTATATCAGTGTATACAGAATGTATGTCAGACTGATTTTCGATTTTTGAAAGTTTAAAGTCCCTTTCCAGAAGCATATTTTCACTTCCATCAACCCAGATTTTGGATTAGGCCTCCTGTGCACATTTCAAACTGTATATCAGTGTATAACGGATGTATACAGCTGGTATACAGCTTCTCAAATCTGCAAAACTTGCTTTCCAGCACTGAAGCTGCTGGTTTTCCAACCTGTAAATTAATTTCCAGCAGCTCTCTTCTTTTGTTCAACCTGTACGCCAGTTTTGAGGGGGTCTACGACTCGAAGAATATGTTTTGAGCCTTTACGGCTCCACGAGAGAATGCAACGAGTTGGAGTAGAATCCATAAGGACTCGAGAGGAGTTTCACATGCGATAAAAACAAGACAAAAGAAGGAAATTAGGAGGGTAGAATTCAATATCACATTATAACATTAATGTCACCCATAAACAAAATAATCATGATAATCCATACGATTTACATCAATCAAACCCAACTTAGAAAAGCAAATCGGAGACGAAGCGAGATATATTTCAAACAAAATCCTACAAACTTCGGCTATTCGTGCTGGAATGTATGAAAGCGACAGCCTATAGCTTCCAAAATTTCAAAAGTAATACTTCAAACTCAAATATGCAGAAATACAGCCATTAAGTATGAAGGAAGTGAGCTGCTAAAAATTGCAAGGAAACAGATACACAACACACATACGAACTTTAATCACGCACAATCCAACTGTTTATCAAACTAGGCAAGAAAACAATTCCTTTAACTCGCTACAAGACTTCGTATTAATGCAGTCAACCACAAGTGACCTTGCAAGAGGAAAAACAGCCTCTTAAACTACAAATTTCCCGAAAATTTTGGATAACTGACGTTGGTTCATAACCGGTTTAAACACAAGAACAATGGCTTAACGTCAAATGCAAAACACACACATTCATTCCTGCTGACTATAGGCAGACTATATGAGAAGCATAGCAATTCAAATATATATATATATATATATATATATATATATATATATATATAAAATGTAGACAAGCTAAGCAACATTCATGTTCTCTTAAACCGTGTACTTCAACAAAACTTAGAGATGGTTCAAATGAAGAGAGGCTTCAGCTACAACTCCAGCGAGATAAACAACACGAACAAACTTAGAACGAGATAGGCAAAACAAGAGAAGACTACACTCTAAACACACAAAAACGCACAAACAGTTCAATAGCATTCGAACGAACAGACTCGATAAGAGAGTTAGCGAGCCAGCTGCAACATACATCCGTATTAAAATTTCATAACCGTCATCACCACACGAATCGTCAGAAGAAGCCATTTCGAAATGAAAGAAACAAGAAAGTCATGCGAAGTAGGGGATTACCTGTCGACGAGCAGCGAATTGAGACGATACGAGCAGGTGCGAACTGCTTCTGCCACGAATGACAACTCGAACACCCAAGCGAGGGAAGGAAGCCGATGGATCGATCAACTCTTCCGAAGTGCGTAAGGAAAGCTGAAGAACTGGACTGTTCTTATGCTAATAAAATGTTAACAAAGTTTCAACCAACGATTCAACTTAAACTTTCGACCAAATTTCCAAAAATATCCAACCCAAGTTCTGTTTTTTTTTTTCCGAATTTTTTCGATGAAAATCTCTAACCCCCCCGGATCCCCCTTTTCTCCTTTTGAATTCGAAACTAAATCCCATTTAGTCAAACTTCCATGGCACAGGCGTGTTGGAGAGGACGACTACGACGTTTCGCAGACCTGCTTGACAGGGTATGGGTCTCTGTCGTCGCGTCTCGTTCAAGCAAAATAAAGGGGGAAGGGAGAAGAACGTGGGGTTGTTGGCGTTTGCAGGAAATGACGTCTGTTCCTTCTGGGACTGAGTTGACGCGAAGAAGAAGAAGGAAAAAAAAGGTTTGGGTCGGGTGAGAGAAGAGAAGCTCGCGTGGGGGAGACGCGGGACAAAGGGAAGAGCGAGCGAGGGAGAGAGCACGGGGAAGGGACTGTTTTTTGAGAGCTTCCGCGCGTGGGCTTTGGGAAATAATTTGCTGGGTTTCTTCATTTGCAGGGGGATCACGTGGGGAAGGGGAAGAAGAAGGGGAAAGGGAAATGGGTCGGGTCGAAAGGGGATTGGGTTGGGTTAGTATTAAGTTAGTGTTGGGTTGAGGTAATTGGGCCTGGGAATTAATGTTGGGGCTGAAGATTAAGAGGGGTTGGGCCTGGGTAATTTTATTTTGGGAATGGGAGAGAGGAGTGGAGTGGGCTGGGGTAAAGGAATGGGTGTAAGATATACATATATACATATACATATATGTATATACATATATGTATATACGTACATATATTTATTTTCGCAAGATTTATAAAACTAACTAACTCATACCGACGCGGGTCAAAATTGGGTGTCAACACTAGCTAGCTAACCCGTACATGTGTTGGTGTTATTTAAAATTGATATACTTTATATTACTACTGATACTTCACAAAATATGTCTCTTAGAAATTTAAATATGCAGTTTCTTAATATTTGATCCATATGTTAATCCCCTTTTATGCTTTGGCGCTTTACTATTAGAACACTCATTTTTTTATTTTCAATATTCGGAGTTCACATTAAAGTTCTATTAGAGAGGATAGAAGTTTACTTGATAGGGAAATGAACTGGTAGTTTCTTGTATTGATCTGGGCAATACTCTCGTCATGAGCTAATTTTTAGAGTTGAGTTAGACCCAAATTTTATATTTTTACCGACTAAACTTGGTCTACTTTCATGCCGAAGACAATTACAATGTTAAAATCAGAAAGAGAAATATAACTACACTTGTCGATTAAGAGGAGACGTTATGTAAGACGATACCTTTTAAGACAATATTTTTCATCCCTCATTCCTTGGATACAACTCACAAACAAGAAGACGAAATTTTAAAAATTTAATCTTATTTTTGGACAGAATTTCATTTTTAAAACAAAAATTAATCTAATTTTTTACTGCAATAATTTCACAAAATTAAAACTTAAAAGTGTGTAAAACTAGGCGAAAATCGTTTAACACTGTCGAAATTCTCAAGAATATGTTACATAATTTTATGTTAAAGCACTATAATTGACTTTCTAAAAATCAAAATTAAACAAATCCAAGTATATTCGCATTAAATAACAAACAATTGATTGTTATTACTTTGATTCTTTTTTATATTTTCATCTCCTCATTAGGTATTATGTTCATCCTCTTGTAACCAGATGATTCAATACAAAGTGTATATGTATAATTCTGAATGTACGTACAATACTTTTAGCTTAAAGACATTTCCTTGAGGAAATGCAGATATTGAAGTAGATGTGTGATCATATAGCAACAATATGATTAGAAATGAAGATATCTGAAATAAGGTGGGACTGATCTCCACGTTGGAGTGAGACTGAGATGATTTGGACATGTGAATAGGAGATGCATAGACGCACCAATGAGGAGGTGCGAGAGGTTGGTTAATGAAGAGAGAAAGAGGTGACAAGGCAAGATATGCCACAGTGTACGTTGTTGTTGTTGGTCTTCTTATTAACTTGTTCCTTCAAGTATCCTTTCTCTTGCCTTCTTTGCCTGAAGTGTCCATTCTCAAAAATATCAATTACTAGTAACATAGAAAGAGATCAAACGATAAAAATCTCGAAAATGTTTTCAAAAATAAAAAGAAAGTAACCTGTTTGTCCCAGTCTGTAAAACATGTAACAATAGATAGAATGATGGATTGTATAGTAGAACCAACCACTATTCCAATCCAAAGGCCCTTTGCTTTCATGTGTAGAGTGAACCCTAACACCACTGCTAAAGGAATTGCTACCAAATAGAATGCTCCTAAATTTATGTATGCCCCTATATGTTGCCATCCACTTCCCCTTGCTATACCTGATTTTTTGTTACAAAAAAAATAATCTCAGTCCAAAAAATTTCGTAGAAAAATGTAACGTTTACTTACTTACCAAACACTAGAAACTAACCGGAGATGACGGCTTGTAAGCTGTCTGTGATAATAGAGAGACATAGAAGAGGAGTCATTGAAGCAATATATTCCACAACTTGCTTTTCATTGCTGAATCCTCTTCCTAATATATGTCTGCTTCCGAACATACTTGTGCTCAACACTACTGTCTCTATTACTGCTAGAAACATTACTACTTGAACTGCCATTCGAGCTCGTTTAGGATTCCCAGCTCCCAATTCATTCGAAACACGAGTACTTTAAAAAAAAAAAATGAACATAAGACAATACACACAAGTGAAAATGAAGTTTTCATTGATTGAATCAAACCTTGCAGCAGCTCCAAAGCCATATGGTATAGTGAAGTGTAAAGTGGAAATTGTTAAGCTGCGCGTAAACAAATGAGGTATCAGAAGCATTTTTATATCGAAATTCTCATAGATTCACCAATATGAATTGGTACCATATTGACAACACTGATGCCTCAAGTGTTGGATTTGGTAAAAGGCCTGATAGCAGAGTAAGCACTTCAAGTGACCACCATTTGAGGCTACAATAAAAGGTAATCAAATTGAAAAAAATAAGTCATAGACATGACGAACAAATAAAATAATTCATCAGGATGACGAATATTTACCAAACCATGACAGCAGAAGGGACAGCTAGACGGAAGAATTCGTTGATACCTAAGAAGACATCCATGGAGAAAGGCGTTCGAGTCTTCTCACAAGAGGTAGAAAAGCTAACATGTAATGCAAGAAATAGTACATATAACCAAGTGGATACACTGAAGGCTATAGCAGCTCCAATGTTTCCTAGCTCCAATTTAAATATGAAACCCCAACTTATCGGCAAGTGTAAGCATAAAACAGCCAACGACGATAGAAGCATAGGCAAAATCAAACTTTGTGTCTGCAAGTATCTAACTAATGGTTTAGAAATTGCACCACCAAACAAAGCAGGGATTGCCCATAATGCATACTTCCGTGCTTCGATTGAGATTTCATGATCTTGTCCAATCAATATAAGCAATTTATCCATGAAGAACCACAACACACATATCGGTAAGCATACAAGAAACAGAGAGATTATAGCAGTATAAGTATATGTACTGAGTTTGTGATATTGCTTAGCTCCATAAGCTTGTCCACATAGTGTCTCCAAACCACCAACTAGCCCTGACTGTTACGTATATTATGCATAAATTAAAACAAATATAATAAAATCACACTCATTCGTTAATCAACTCTGAATTTTGAATTCGTCTCTGAACTAAAAATGTACTTACAAGTAGGCTGAAACCGGTGACGTTAGTAAGGGAAGTTGCAATGGCTACACTAGACAGGGCTAACTGTCCAAGATGTCCAACCATTATGATCGATACAACTTGTAAGAGGTACTGAAACACTGTGACTGCTACCATCGGAGCAACGATTCGATTCGTTTTCTTTAGTTCTTGAGATAAAGCATCCCAACTTATCTGCCATTTCTTTTCTAATTTTAAGCTTTGTGGCAACTCCTCTTCCATTATAGTTCTACTTGTTTTCACTTCAATAGACGAAGACTCTTATAATAAATATATATGCACAATAAGAAAAATATGCTTGTTTGGTTTGTCAGATACATGTATAAATAGCCATTTTTTAAAATGATTTTATCGAGATATTTATCGACTATTTCCATGTCATCAGTTAGTTAAAATTAGTTATACACTCAATTAGCTCTATCTTAACTATATAAAATTATAGTCGGCTACTGTTAGTTGTGTTAATTAGCTGAATTAATGAGTAGTTAACACAATGTAATACTATAGAATTTTCTTTATGCGCTCTTGTGTAACACCTTCAAATGAGAAGTCTCAAAAATAAATATTGAGTAATATAAGCGAGCAGATCTTACAACACCAGTGATAATGAGTTATAATTATTACGTATGATTTACAGAAATTGCTCTACTAAAGTCTCCTTTTTCAACTTTTTTTATGTCCTTGTTGTACCTGTTTTTGCGTTCAAACGCAGACCCAAAAGTTGGACTATTTATTTTTATGGAACATAAAATACTTCTTAATGTCTTAATGAGAAGATGATATAATCCAAATTGCATGTAAAATAAAAAAGTAGAGAAAACTTTGTTTACTGCCAGTGGGTTAGTTATTATTTTGTAATTCAACTCCTTGAAAAGTGGAATTGTGGTCCACTCCTTGACAATGAACCTTTAATTGTGGAGCTTATATATACTATTATTTTTCAAAAAATGGAATTAACAGAATAAGTGCAGGACTAAAAATCAGAATTTCAAATGTTACCTATGGATACAATTAAGTAAAAACAAGGGATAAATAAATTAATCAATGTGTATCAAACTCTATATGTCTATTAGACAGCCTAAGGGTCATACCATCCTCATCACCCATACCATTATGAACAATAATAATTTTAATTGAAATTGAAATTTCAAACAATTAAAAAAAGAAGAAGAAGAAATTTCAAACAACTAAGTCTATTTTTAGTAGAAATTATAAATGGAGTATTTAGCTAATTAATCTAGTAGACAAACGCTATTCAATTGTGACACTATTTTAAGTATTAGCTATTTAATAAATAGAGTACTTGGTATTTTATTTTTGTTAATAAAAAACTTTATTTATGTCGTTATCAAATCATTAAAGTCATTTTAGTTGGAGCCGAACATATTGATGTTCACCGATCACGTTTCTTTAGCCAAAGTTTTGGATTTATCGGTCAAACATGTTGATTTTTTGCTTTCATCTATCAAAATTGGATTTGTCTACCGCAAGTTTTCTCATATCAACTTTTTTTTTATTATCTATCGCGAGTCTATTATATTTATCTAATATATTTTTATTTACATCGTCAAAGTTACCTTATATTGAAGTTGTTCACGGACTACACTAAGCACCATTTGTTTAAACTTAGCACAACTTTGAATCTGAATTATAAATTTCTACCTTATTATATAATGTGTTTAGAAATCTGATTGTCTTTTTATTTAAACTATGCAGACTCAAAATTGGCTTAGGAAAAACATTTTTAATGTGGGAGATCAGCCCATTCATACGTTACTCATAAAAAAAAAAACATGCATTATAGCTATTTTTGTGATATGATTATAGCAATACGCCTTTTAATTTATCATATAAGAATTTGGAAATGAAAAATGAAATTTAATGTGTAACGAATAATGAACTTATTATATATTTTACAAAATACATGCTTCGTTGTGTCATAAACTCTATCCATACTTATCGATTACTTAGTGGGACACATTGTATTTACTGATAAAATAAATAAATAAATTCTTCCCATACGAACTAGTAGTCAACCTATAAAGTAGATCCAAACACTCTAATTATATATATATACTAGATACAGCTTCATACATTAATTATCTTCTGAATTGAAGATAATATAAACTATGGGGAAAAAAAAAGGTTCTAGCCAATAGCAATAAATAGAAGCTAAACTTATTGTCAGCTGCAATGGAAGATAAACTAATCCACTGAGAGGACAGTCTGATAATTAAATCTAGTGTATTTTAGTGTAATTATATTATTTGTCATGTTTGATTAGATATATAATTACTTGGTCAATAGGTAATTGGTATAATTAACATGGTGATTATCCTCTACAATTCACATGCAGAAGTTGTAATTGCTGGTAATCACATGGTGTAATTACCATGTAATTATCAGTCGATTACTTTTTATTTTATTTTTATTTTTTTTAACGTGTAAGTTTATTTTTATTTTTATTATTCTAAAATTTTGTAAAATTTTATTTTTATTTTTATTTTTTATTATTATATTTCATTTTCTTCTAGTTCTCAATCTTACTTTACATGATTCTATGCAATTTTTATGTATTATCTATTTCTTTATGTCATGCTAATTTTCTCATTAATATAATTTTATTAAGTATTCATTGTTAAGTAAGTATAGATTACGTTTTTTTAGAAAAAAAATTGAAATAAACCATATTTATGCATGCTATGTTGAAATTTGTTATAAGAGTATTATGTTAAACTTTTTGTTTTGAATTTATAACTTATGTTATATTTTCCAGTTTCATTTGTTTTAGTAATAGTAACTTCACATTGCACATCATTTTTTAATAAGACTTGATAAACTATCTTTTTATCAAACATTTAATAATTTATGACATTTTATTTATATATTTAACTTTTTATCAAACATGCATTTCACGATGTTTGTAGAAATTTCATACTTTTAGTTATTACGATCAATTTAATTAAAATATTAATTTGAAAAAATATAAATCAATTATTTTTTCATAATATTAATTAAAGAATATATGTTTATTTATTAATATATTCTCAAAATAGAATACATATCCTATATATTTAATTTAATGTCATTTATAAAATGCCTTATGTGTAGTACAGATTTTAAAAATTAATATTTATTTTTAAAATTTAATATTATTTTATGATTACAATTGTGCATCCGAACTGAACATGTGTAATTACACTGTGACAACCAAACTGATCAGTATAATTACTAGACATGTAATTACTACCCTAGTAAATTACATTGATTCCAATTATAAGGTGACTTTCCGAATATGCCCTAAAGAAAAATGTTAACAACAATCAAGCTATTGTCTTTAATTAATAGCCGCTAAAGATCATATTTTTTTGGGTAATGTCTGATTATCTCCTTTCTGATATCCTCTTCTTAGCATTTATTGCCTGCAAAAGTTCCATCACAATGTGTGAAAACAATACTACAAAAAATGAATACCGAGACAAACAAATAAAAGTGGACCTGTTTTTGCCAATCTGTGAAAACTAGTATGAGTGAAAGACTAGTTGCTTGTATTGTAGAACCAGCCAATAGTCCAATCCACAGGCCCTTTGATTTCAGATTTACAAGAAAACACATTACAGCAGCAACTGGGATTCCAACTAAGTAGAATGCTCCTAGATTCACATATGCACCAATAATCTGCCATCCACTTCCCCTAGCTACTCCTGTTTATTTCCAACATACACTTTTTTTCAAATTTCAACTAAATATTGTTTAAACGCCTACTTAACGATCATCGAAAGATATATATAGCTAGTTAGGAGACTTGCCACAAATGACTGCTTGGAAGCTATCTGTGATGATTGTTAGACACAGAAAAGGGGTAATTCTAGCAACATAATCCACCACTTGTTCATCATTGCTGTAGGCTTTACCCAAAACTCCGCGGCATAAGAATATTACTATGCTTGCCAGTACTGTTTCTGAAACTGCAACAAACATTGCAACTCTAACTGCCACTAGAGCCTTCTGAGGATTACCAGATCCCAGTTCATTAGATACTCTCGTGCTGTAATTAAGCCAGAATTTTTTAGTCATGAAGACAAAGAAAGTACGCATATTTTAGTCATACTGAACTAACCTCACACCAGTTCCCAATCCATAAGGAAGAGCAAAATGCAAAGCAGAAATCGTTAAGCTGATCAGCAAAAATATGAGGATCGGTACTACACACATCGGATGAATTGAGCATAAAATAGGTTATCGTGAATTGGTGCATACATACCATATTGATAGTACTGATGTTTCAAGTTTTGGATTTGGTAGAAGTCCAGATAGCAAGGTAAGCACCTCAAGTGACCACCATTTAAGGCTGTGATGATTTCCATTGCACAAAAACAGATGAAGATAAATTAATCAAAATTGTGATAAAGACTACTTAAGATTCTTTAATCACCAAAACAGGACTTCTTACCAAACCATTAAAGCGGATGGTGTTGCATAACGAAAGAATTGTCCGATAGCAAGGAAGGCATCTCTGTTCAGAGGAGTTCTAGTCCTCTCACAAGAACTCGATCGACTGATGTAAACCACAAGTGATGCCACAAAAGTCCAGATTGAAAAACTAAAGGCTATAGCTGCACCTGATTTTCCTAGTCCTAAATGAAATATGAAAAGCCAGGATAGAGATATGTGGAGACATAGAGCCAGAAAGGCGCTTACGACCATTGGAAAAATCAAACTTTGAATCAGCAAATATCTAAGTAGGGGCCTAAGAATTGCACTTCCAAATAATGCAGGGATAAGCCACAAAGAAAACTTATAAGCTTCAACTGAAATTACAGGGTCTTGTCCCATTAAAATGAGCAGCTTGTCCATGAAGAGCCACACGACACTGATTGGGATGCACACAATAAGTAGAGATATCACTGCACTGTGAGTATAAGTACCGACTTTTTGCCATTGATTTGCACCATACGCTTGCCCAGACAGTGTTTCCAAACCACCAACCAGCCCTGACTGTTTCACATTTGCATATAGAATTTACTAGAAATATTCATTGTCCTACGAACAATCATGATACTTTTATTAATTCAACCCAATTTGAACTATAGGAACAGATAGCCTTATAGCACCGGGCTCATCTGAACCTAGTACTTTCAATACATAGTACAGATTATGTGTACAAGTTGAACCCACATAGAGTTCAAATCCTGAATCTTTTTGGTTTTGAACCTCCAAAGGACTCAACTCGCCTATTTACCACCTCTAATTAGATTTAACAATCACAATGAATAAAGAGGACTTACAAGAAGAGAGAAGCCGGTAACG